AAGTGTACCAAAAAACTGTGTGTTTATTTCTCGCCTTTGGCATCGCATTAACGGGTTTTAATTCTTAAATAATAAATGAATGTCTTGTTCTGATTGACAGGACATTTAAAATCTCGTTGTTCATAGCGGGTTTTCAATAGAAGCTTTCTGGTACTCTTGTTGTTGTATTGACCTTCAACGCTGATAATCTAATTTTGACTGAAACCTTCCGAAAAAGCGACGTTTTAAATAACACCACAATAGTTGTCACCGTAAAACAAAGTGGTTTTTTGTAAATTTTCCAAAGAGGTGATTAGTTTATTAGTTTAAATCATCACTCTTTAGTAATCAAGAATTCTGTTTATCCCACAAACTAAGCCCTGTTAACAAGAAGTATGTAAATTAACTTTAATAACGGGTCTTGCGGTCATTCTAAAACTTAGATAAGATTTTGTTGTGATTAGTTTTGCTACGAGAATTAGACTAGGGCAATGACCATACGAGTTAGCTTTGTATAGACGTATTAAAAACCTGCTTATCGTCGTTAGCGGCTTCCGTCCAGATGGGAACGATTCAAATTGACCATTACAGTCTTCAGAATTAATAAACAGATAAATATTGTTCTCCTGCGGAGAGCCGTAAGGGATAAGATTGCATCTGTATGGCCTTTACTGAGTTAAATGAGCTCGTCAGTGAACATTGCCAAGTTTTAAAATTCTTTTATTAAAATCTCAGTTTTACGAACTAGAGTTTGCATAGTAATGAAAAGACAACTATTGAAAGTGGAGCGCTTCCCATTTGTAAGGACATTTCGGTGAAAATCTTCTGACAAATCAGGCACTGTTAAGGGATAGAAATGAGTTGTACCAGTAACAATCTACCACCAAATCAGTTTTACTTTCTCTCGCCTGGTACCGGATGGCAATCCACACAAATAGTACAAAAACATTTCGGTCACTTCGGTAAAAGCGAAAAAATGGTCACACGGAAGGTACTGTTTTATTATCCGACATTTTCCCAAAATAACCGGTCTTTCCGTTAAAATGGTAAACGCTGATGGTTTAAATATTCTTGCTGAAACATTGTGTCAGTTGTGTCGGTCTTCTCACCCACGTTTCGTGACGTTTGACTTAAATATTATTAAACGAAGCTACGGTCATTAAAATAAACAGTCTTGCTTGCCTGAAAAGCAGACGTTTCTAGACGATCCGAGCACTAATGTGTGGTTACCGACGCAAATTGGTGTTGCGTTCATACTCTGGGAGTTATGTAATTGTGTACATATTTACTCCATTTCGCTCTTTCAGACGCCATTTGAAAATTGGGCATAGCAAGGAATAAAAGGCAGTGGATTTGAAAATGTTGGCAGGACTCGACCTTGTATTCGGGCACCGGCACAGCGCCCGCATTCTGCTGGCACGGGTACTTGGAAAAAAGGTTGTGTTTACAGTAGTTCTTATAATTAGTACAGTATCTCAGTATAAGTTCTGTACTCGAGCACCGTGCCCCGGTATTAAGCGTAAACGCTGCCTAAGAAGTAATAAGACAACGCCAGACCCGATAAAAGGTCCCTGATTTGAGAAATCAGAGGTTCAATTTTCACAGCATAAGCACCGCGACCCAACACATCTTAGAAAGAAACAACAATTAATAAGGTACTACAGTTTTAATTCAGATATTACTCTCAGTTCCATCTCTTTTAAAAAAACATTTAAGACCATTATTCTGTCCACCTTGTTATAGTTAGTCCACTGAATAAAAATGGGAATTTGCCTTGGTTTGATTCGGTACTCTCCTCTCTCAATAATTCTTATTTTCTGTATTTTTTCGCATTTCAAATTACAATTGTCTTAATTAGACATTCATATGGGTCATGTTACGACGTATAGCGTAAATTAAGCACTGACTAAGCTATGAAGAGTTTTCCTCCGCAGGAAAAAAATATATTGATAAATAATTTGTATGAAAGATACACGTTTATAACACTGTAGTTTTTACAAGATACGATCTGGTTTTCATTATTTGTCTCATGATCTACTAAGACAGAGTAAGACGTTTGGGGACTTAACTGGATAGTACTGAAATCTGAACGTTGCTTAGAATTTACCGTATGGTCAAGTACGAAAAAGGTGCGTAGACATTATTGCCTTTACACTGCTAAAACAATTTAGTTAATAAAATTTACATACATTTTTGTGCCCGCTTAACGATTCACCGTAAAGCTGTAAATAAATATTATATGTAGATTCTACAATGAGCCATTTTTAAGGCTGAGCTTATTCAAGCCTGGATCAATGCTGTGTCTAAAGGGTCCAGTTTCGAGTTCGTCATGGTCGCTTATATCCGACATTTCGTGGGGCCAACACTGGTTTCCCCGCGAAATGACACCTGAGAAACAAGCGAGGAAATTCCATACTGATGACGCGTCACTACCCTAACCTGGGTAGCACCTCAGAGGAAAATTTTCAACCAATCAGAAGCACTCACGGGATCTGGGTAGTGACGCGTCATCAGTATGGAATTTCTGCGCTCATCTCTCAGACGTTACTTCGCTGGGAAATCAGCGGCGGGCGTTCGCGAAATGTCGGCTGTTTTCTTAGGTTAGGAAGCTAAATAAAAGCAGTAAATGAAGACGCATTTTGACAAGGTTACTGTAGCCTTTATCTGAACTAAGAAGAACCGGACCTGTCTACAACTCTGTTTATTGTTTGTTTTCCCGATTTTTTGCCGGTATTTGTAAATATTTTACTTTAGGCCGAGGCTAACCTGTATAAATGTGTCGTAAGTGTTTGTGTTCAGCAGCTATTTCAAATTCACAATTTTCTCATTGACCATAATGCACCTCGTATGTCCAAACTTTTGCATAGCCACTGTTTCTAATCTCTCCTGGGTATTACAGTCGTCCCAAGAGAAATTAAAAACAATGGTTGTGCAAATATTTGGGGGGAAACAAGGTGCATTATGGTCAACGAGAAAATGGCGAATAGCCCACGTTCGATATATTAAAATTTCAACTTGACTCCGAGGCTTTCTGGTCATTTTTCTATATTGGTGTGGTTTTCTTTTCTCAAGTCCCTTCTGGAAATTGCGAGACAATGGAGTCGTGAATAATTAGCAACTGGGACCCTAAAGCCTCGGAGTTATGTTATGATTTTAATATAACGAACTTGGGCTATTCGAGAAAGGACTATTGTACTATGGAGCTGTTTTAGGGTGAAAAATTTTAACCAAGTTTCATGTGCAACTTTATGATCGTCATACACCGTATTCACAAATGGCGGACACGCGGGAAAAAACTGGGGCCTAGTCATGAAAGCGAGGCGTTGGAGGGTAAACAAAAATTGCAAATGAAGATTTTTAGTGAACTTGCAGAGTGTTTAGCACGGATTCCACCTAAAATAACTTTGTATGGACGTCTTTTTAAATACAATGACGTGGAACGTCTTCTGCTTTTAATGTTTAGTACTGATTTGCTGTTTGCAATCACAAGGGACGCGTATATCTTCAAGGAAACAGGATGATTTTGTAGGTTGCCGAAGCCTCAGAAGCTCGACAAGTGGGTGATGGCTGGAGAAAAGCGGCAAACATGTTGGCCCAAACTTCACGCTGAAACCGAATACGAAAGCCAGCTCACTGCAATTCTGTAAAACAGAAGTAAAAACAGATATTGGTGGCAAGAAAAAAAGAAAAAAGCGACGGATAGATGGCCTACTTGTCAAAAGAAGAGACCTCCGCCATTACTCAAAACTGGTCAAGTCGAGAGCGGGTGAAAGATTCATTCACGAGACTCATTCATTCATGTCAGTGTCATTTTACACATATCTATGTATGTCTGTATTTACAACTTCCTTTGGATGATATCAATTCCGTCGCTTTGGAGTGAATTGTTAGAGGTACGTTGGCAGAGCTTAGCAAATCAGTGCAAATCTAAAATCTTTTGATTTCTTTGCATTGCGAAATAAAATAATTTTATCAAAACTAGAAGCTCTAGTGTGTGAATCTTATGGCTTGCTATTTGCCTGGTCTCCTATACGGCATTATCTCAGAGAGCTCTTCGTAAAAAAGTGGTATAAAGCTCACATTTTACTAGGTTAAACTTTTAAGGCAATGTTTGTGTCAGGACTGAACACGGCAAGCTTCTGTTTCGAATCATTAAATGCGAGTCTGGATCCGTTTAAGAAGACCATCATTTTACTTATTTATGTATTCTTCACTTTTAAAACATTATAGAACATGACGTTAAAACTCTTAACAGCCAAAGATAAGAAATAGGAAAATTACTCGCTGAAATGAAATGTGGCCGGCTTACCGAGTCTGCCGAGTGACAAGTCGAAATTTTGAGCGTACTCCACTCGATCGCTCCTGCATCTATACCAAAAAGATAGTTCTAATTGATGTCCTTCATCGATAAAGACCAGAGAATAGCGTCCTGGCAAATAAACACCAAACATAACTTCATCGAAACCTAAGTCACCGCTTCTTTCCTGTCTTGCTTTTTTAGCTTTTTTTCCATCTCGATTTGAACTGTTTTGTTCAATGGCACACGTCTCTTGCGTTAACAAGTAGGCCATATATCCATCGCTTATTTCTTTTTTTCTTGCCCCCAAGATTTGCATTGTTTATATTTCTGTTTTACCGAATTGCAGTGAGCTGGCTTTCGAACTCGGTTTCAATGTGAAGTTTGGGCCAACATGTTTGCCGCTTTTCTCCAGCCATCGCCCACTTGTGGAGCTTCTGATGCTTCGGAAACCTACAAAATCATCTTGTTTCCTTGAAGATATACGCGTCCCTTTTGATTGCAAACAGCAAATCAATACTAAACATTAACAGCAGAAGACATCCCTTGTAATTGTATTTTAAAAGAAGTCCGTAGAAAGTTATTTTAGGTGGAATCCGTGCTAAACACTCTGCAAGTTCACTGAAAGTCTTCATTTGTAGTTTTTGTTTACCCTCCAACGCCTCGCTTTCATGACGAGGCCCCAGTTTTTTCCGCGTGTCCGCCATTTGTGAATACGGTGTATTTAGTCACTTAAGAAAAGATATGGGGACTGGGGCCGAAATGTGTCCCGCAATGATTTCTGGGATCGTTACTGGGTGCGCGCCACCTTTTTAAGCCATCTTTCCCTCGTCACAGTCCCAGAAGTCCTTGTGAAAGTTAACTCGGTCCAGTTTTCCTCTCATTTCCTTAGTAGCGAATGAAAGAAGCAATTACATCCTTAAAACAGTCCCATAGTTCCATTCGTCAGGACACTGACCCAGTCCCACGCACAGCTACAAATTGGCCGATACAATCCTCCATGGCTGATTTTAAAAAAATATAGGCAATATCTAATCAAATGCTTCACTGGGTGGAGGGAATTTTCCCTTTGCAGGTAAAAGATTCCCCAGAAGCCTGTTGAAAAAAAAAAAGATAAAATGAGACAAGTTATCTTGACTCAACATTTCGATTTTTCAGCTTTTTGAAAAAAAGGGCTCCTAATTACGAAAACACTCACCTAATTCCGTACCCAAACAATCCAAACGCTATACAAAGAGCCACGGAGGCATCGAGATACCAAATATTTCTGTTATATTGATACAGCATTGTACTTAAAACCATTCCAAAAGCCATAGCGGCACCGGCTGTCGAGTTAAAAGCTAAAAGAAAGCAACAACAATAACAACAGTTTGCAAGTGGCCTTAGTTCAGAAATAAAGAAAACCTCTTGTTCTGCAAGTGGCAAGTCTTTACGTCAGTGTTACAAAATTGGCTTTTTCAGAGGTTCAGAATAAATAGTGAAAACGGCGCGATGAAGACAACGCAGAGGAAAAAACGGGAGGAGTCGTTGGAAAAATTTGACCAATCCGTAAGCTAATATAACAGTCTTTTACTGAGTCTGAATCCTATTTTCATTTTGCATCTTCTGTAGCCTTTTTTGCAGGCCATGACTGTTCTACTCCATATGAAAATCGATGAACTGCTACAGATTGCTTTTTGATCAAAATGTCACTCAAAATCTTTCTAAAGACCCGGTGAAAATCTGGAAATAACTTCCTCGAAATTCCATTGACTTTGTCATGGACTAAGATGTTTTCTGACCATCAACAAACCTTCCCTCGAATAAAAAAGTTTGCCCCTGCCATTTCCCTGTTTGTGGAACGCTCCTAATACAATAATATCACGACACAGTTTCTCTCCTTCGCAAAACTCTTACTTTGCTAATTACATCGCTTTTTGTCAAACTCTTTCCTAATACTGGAAAAAACGCCTTGTGAGACTGACACGCCACGATTAGCTTAGCTACCTGCAGCTCAGTACATTATTGATATACAAACAATAAACTTGAAACTTAATATATAGTAACTACAACTAATCGACAAGAAATTCAACTCGTCAAAAATCATCATGCCGACTTACGTACCATCAGTGCGGAGAGATGCACTGCTCAGTTTATCAGCGATTGCAAACTTCATCCAAGCTAATGAGGTAAAAGCCACCACACTCACACCAGAAATTGCTTCAATGCCGGTGAACTGAAAGAAGGATAATGATTCCTTTGAATAATAAACTTCGCTTGTACCGTACCGCTCAAAGTATTTTTAACAGTCCTGTCTCGTATATTAGGGACCTTAAGACCCGACGAAGGCGACGGCAACAAAAACGTCAAAGCAATAAGAACACAACTTTGTACGAGCAACACACTGTTTGGCTCATTTCTTGGCCGTCGGGGCAGGACTACAACGTGCCAAATTTCCTCGTTTTATGGAGGACGTAAACAAGCAACGACGAAATTTTCTTCTGAACTTGGATAAAACTCGTAGGAGGTCCAGGAGAGTTCGCATATATGTACATTTAAAAAAGTAATTGAGTTGGAGTAATCGCTATGAAGGTTCACAAAACGCGAATTCACTTTTTAAGCAATGTTTTCGCTGCCGTCGCCGCCTACGCATTTTAAGGTCCCTATTACACGTTTTTCGTTTTTAATCGACAATTTAGTGTGCGCACAAACGAAACGAGCGCACGACAGAGAGCGCGCAGCGCGCTGTTTTTATTTCCATACGCACGCTCGACGTCCTGCTTAAGAGAAAACAGAGGCCGGCCAGTGAACAGGCTAACCAGGTGTATAATTGGTTACTGGAGACATACTGCAGGAAATGAGCCTGTGATGAACAGGCATCCCATCCAGGGAAAATTTTGGAGGGTAAAAGGGTAAAACAAACATCGCAAGCTTACTTTGAGGGGATGCTTCTCCACAATTAGTGCCCTGACTGCTCTGATAAATATACCAGTTCCAGACACGACAAAAAGGAAAGCAATCACTATACAGGCTCTGCAACAGAGAGAACATTGATCAGTGTCAACCTAGGGACAGCTTTTTCAATCTTTTTTTGAATTACAGTGGAACCAGCTCTACAGACTCTTGCTTATTATGGACACAGGTTAATATGGACAAGGGACACCCTTCTTCTTCACGGTCTATAACTGAATATCTTACCAATGAAAACCTAACAAAAATGGCAAGTGACCTTTCAAAAGTTCTGATCAACATTCATTCCACCTGGCTGAGTCGCACTATAAAAGTGTCAGATGTACAAAGTAAAGTAACCTGAAGTAATGGATTCTATTTTCGTGTTTCAAGAATAATACTTAACAGGTAATTTTAGTCTGAGACTAAATTGGCATATGCATGACAGCGAGATTTCTCTAGGACAAACCTGTTGCAGTTATATAAAAAAAAAAACAATTCTTTAATACTCGTTCAAATGTCTGCTTTAGTCTTTATGTTGAAAAAAACATGTGTCTGTCATGTTCTTTCAGAGACACCCTGAGAATACCGGCACTTTGCGAGCATGTCCCCTTGGTGTTAGTCTGCACAGAATGGTGGTTTTGGTTGGGGGTGCAAGGTAATAAAGGCCACAAGGACAGAGAAACCCCAAGGACAAAACCACCATGCTACGCAGGCTACCTTGGTGTCTCTAATAGCAGGGTTCCACCATGGTTGTCACTAAGATTTCAAGTTGCTGGGTAAATACAAAAAGTAGGCGGGGAATCAAACAACTAGGGATTTCTTTTTTGGTTCTATTTTTCTTATTTTTCTTTGAAAATAGCTGGGAGCAACGTTCATAGTAGCTGGGGAACATTCCCAGCCCCCGCCTCTTAATGACAGCCCTGGTTCCACACAGGGTACAGACTACAGAGGAGTCATTTGTGATGGCAAGCGAAGCGAAATTTTACAGCCGATCGCACAAGTCACCTATGTTTACTGTAGAATTGACTAAGAACTTCACGTATCGAACCGTCATGCAATTCTGTTACAAACCTGGTAAAATATTTCCTGATACTCCGTGGAAAGCGAAGCTTTCATTTTTATTCTTCCGCAGTCATTACCTTCAGCAGTTTTCTACAGCATTGGATAATATATTACCAGGCCCCAGTTGTTCAAAAAGTGGATAGCGCTATCCGCTGGATAAATCGCTATCCAGTTTATAACTTAATTAGTTTATGTAATACTTATCCATTGGATAGCCATTTATCCGGTGGATAGCGCTATCCAACTTTTGAACAACCAGGGCAATAAGTTGATTTTACAGTATAAAAACAAAGGTGATGCATGGTATCAACTGTAAAATTTAACTACAATCAACAGTCAAGGTCACAAACAACTCCTCTGTGCCCTGTGGTTCCACTGTGTTTTCATTTGTTCTAAGGTCTCACAATTAGCCATCAACTGGTTGGGGTCGGCTTTTTTTCTAGAACAAAATCATGTACTATTAATATTATTTGGACAGTACCTTCTTTCTCTTTCCCACGAATATTGTTTTCCGGCTAACCCACAAAATCTCCAAATAACAACCAGTGATGAACACACATCTAATAAAGAATCAAACTGAGAAAAAAATATACATGTCAGATTTTCAGAAGTCAGGAAACTACTGAATGAAAAGTTGGCATTATTTATCAAACGTTAATTAGAATTTTGAAAAAGTTTCTTATCGTGTGAGATAAGTGGACCCCAGGCGACTTTGATGCTGGCTCGGCTGCGATAAAAAGCTTGCCCTGCTTCCTCTCTGCTATGAAACTGAAACTCAAGAGGTCAACTTATAGCAAGTCTAATTGAACTTTACCATTTTTACAGGGTAAAAAATTAAGTACAAATGAGGTTTTCTTTCTCCTTTTTTTATTCGGAGGATCATTAATTCTCTGATTATATAAAAAATTAAATCTTCAAGAAATTTAGAATCAGAATTTCCAAACCTTCATTCTTCTTTTTTCTATCAGTACAGTCAAATGGATTGTATGAAGTAATGCATGGCTATACATGCTTTACATGTACGTGTTGGAAAGTGTGTAGTATGGATATCTCTCAATTATTCTTAAATAGGTCTGTAAGAACTATTTAAGAAATGCTCCACTGTTACCCTGCAGTGAATTCTTTTTTCCAGACTATCAATGAATTATTGTGAAACTTTAGTGTACAAGTTCAGGTGAAGAGCCATCCAGTGGATACCCTGAACAAAGTCATTATTATTATTATTATTATTATTATTATAGTTATTATTATTATTATTACCATTAATATTATTATTATCATCATCATCATTAGGTGAGCATTATCATCATCATCATCATTATTGATATCATATTATTATTAATCATTATTATTGAATAAATAGCATGTGGACTTACTGCAAAGCCAAATGCTGCAGAGCTTTTGGCCAAACTGGAAATGACTATAGAAAGAAAAACAATATTATGTTAACATTTTATAATAAATTATCATAATATTTAAATATGATTGTAACTTCCCATTTGTTCCCAAGTGCTACTCATCATTGGGAATGCTTTAACATTCATAGTGAGCCCCAGCCACCTAGACTTTGCAGAAATCTGTTAGCGAACAATTATTACAGAATAAAATATTAAAAATTCCAATTATGACTCTGTTACTAGTAATATCAGCCTTATGTTTTTTCAGGAAACTCCCCCGCCCTAACCCCTGCACCATATAATAACAACAGTTTTTGCATCAGTCTGCTTACCAAATGCACTGACACCTATAACAAAAGTAGTAAAAACAGAAGCATAAGAAACAGCTAGAGCTGCTTTCCGCCATCTGTCCAACAATTGAGCGGGAATCTGTTTTTCTTTATGGAGGAGATAATCTGAGAAATATGAAGTAAAAATTCACACAGTGAATATTCAACAACACAATACCAACAGAAAAATTGCCCATTCCATACCGGTAACTTCATTTCTTTATAACCTGAAAAACTACTTTGTACATATGCATGTATGTCTAGTCAGTAGATAATTTTACCAATTCTGATATTTTGCATTGTGTGTTTTGCTGTACATCTTGCAGTTATTTGCTGGCAACAAATAGTACCATTCAAATCAACTTAAGTTCCTAGTCTGTCATGAGTCTTTAATTCTCAACTAAATTCTCAAATCCTGCAAGAATTGAGCATCACAATTTACGAGAATCAATGCTGAAAAGCAAGACTTGTGAGGCAGAAACTAATGCACGCATCGATTTCTCAATAACTTTAAAGATATTTATAGTATTTTTTAGTAAAAAGAGATCACAAATACATAGCTGTTGAGGCTACTGCAATGTGACCAAAGGCCCCCACAAGTGTATGATACTAAATCGCACCGTGGGAGACTGAAGCCAAACAGTAAATTAAAGGGTTGGTACATTCACTTTGGAACCACCAAGGAGAATGGATGTAGTTTAAATTGGATAGCAAAAATAGCAGCAATAGTTGCTAACCATTAATGAGTAAAAGAACGCTAACTTGGACATGATATTGTCTGCCTTACATTGCGACTACTCAAATCGGGCACTTGGAAGATTATTCAATCACAACACTTTTTGAAATCAAGTCTTTTTGCAAATGGACCCATAAAATTCAAGGTTCAACTATGCAACTGAAAAAAACTTTACAGCTGTGCAAACTTACCTGATCTCTCAGGAAACAGCCCTCAAATTTATGAATGTTATTAGTCTGTTTGTATAAAACTTGGGAATCTTTTGTTTTCAAAAAACAGTTGTGATCAGATAATCTTCCTTCAAGTGCCCTGTTTTGCGTAGGACTTCACACTATCTAAGAAAGTCAGTTTTACAGATTGGCAATTAAAAGAACAGAAATCACTAGCCCAACTGCAAAATCGCCATCCACAGACTAACAGACACAACCGTCTTTTCATGCTGCTAAGATTGTAATTATCTCCTTGATTGTTATGGAAATTTCCCAAGCTTTCAAAACAAATTTGAATACAAAGGGTATAAGGTTAGTCTTGACGTCTGAGTCAAAGCAAATTTTCCATGTAGGACTCAGGTATTTGGTACATATTGTAGTGCATATAATAAATCTTATTTTTCAAGGTAAAAGATGCACAAATGTACACAACTAAACTTTGTATGTTCATGGTTGGTACTTTGCTCTTCTTGAATAATCCATTTTCTGTGATAGTCATAAAATAATGTCATACAGTTTTCAACTAACAATTTGCAAGTGGCAGTTTACAGACAATATTATTTTTCTCACTCTGTTTCTTGATCTGATCATACAATAATTATCGCAAAGGGAATCAAGTAAATAAAATAAACTCAAATTTGCCATGATTGCTCATAATTTATTTATTTATGTAACATATGTTGTTCTAAAACACAACCAATCTTCAATGAGAAGACTGCAATCAGGTAGATATAAAGAAAATCAGTTCATAATAAATTCAGGAAATCTCTGTGAGAAGTTGAACATTTGCAAAACACATGTTTTCAGCTTACATGTAAATGACAGCTGACGTTTAACCCACAATCAGCTGCTATATGCATTTTAGTACAAAAACACGAACATGTAAGTAAATTTTCTTTGCATGGAAATGTTGTGAGAAAAAATATATCAGTTGAATAAATGAAATGTCCTTGGTACATGAAGTAGATTTCAGACTGAAGCCATTGACAATCTTTTAATGTTTTTTCCATAATTTATAAAGCGATAGCACTGACAACCACTGAACATTTTTTTTTCAATAATGGTAAATATGTTTTGAGCTACGAAAATACAACTTTTCTTTGTAGACTGAAAAATTTTAAAAAATTGCTTCAAACCAGAAGATAATAGTTTTAACCAGCCAATAATTATGTACACAAAAGTTACATTGTATTTGTCAAAAAATTGACCTTACACTTAAAATTAAACTTTAAAAAGGCGAAAATAAAATTTATATTAACTGCTGGTTTTTAGATCAGAGAGACTTACATGAAAGTTGATAAATTACATTCTAAAATTTTCAAGGACTGTTTTTACAGGGAAAAAACTTTTCAAGAGCACTTGCTTGAGGATAAGCTCCTATATATATCAGGGGCTACATAATTTTACACATTACAAATTCGCTATTAAAAAAAGTTTTACTCTTACGAATTCAAAATAAACTGTGTTTAACAATAAATCGTGAGATCGAAATTTTTACACACATAGAAAGTGAGCATAAACAATGAAAGTTTAAAAAAAAAAAATGTTTGTTTAACAAGAAATTACCAGTGATTCATGGCGGGCAAAAGAAGATCAACAATAATGTTGAAAATGGAAGAGTGCGATATAGAAGAAATAATAACAACCATCTATGTTTTTTCTACGCCGAAGGTAATTTTTCAGTGCAGCCATTCTCCTACAAACTCAAGGGTTCAGTTTTATACTAAAGTTTTCCTTTCAAGTGCTGTGAATCGACATGAATAATATGCCAAAGAGACTTCGCGATGTGATCGAACTCAAGATTTGTACCCCTCCGTTCGCTCGTAGTGTAGCCTGTACACTGCGATGACAATTCTTAGATGAAAACTATCTCCAAGTTTTAATGTCAAGGCAAAAATTAGCTCTTTAGAGACAAGTGTTCAATCATAACAAACCGATCGATCGACTGCGGCGATAATATGAGAAAAAGAGATATTAGAACCTACCATCGTCCAGAGGTGATATACAAGGAAATCCTTCAATCTCCTTCGCTTCTTCTTCTCCTGAAGAGACGCTAGTTAAAAGAACTGGAGAGGAACCATATTTTGTCGTCCCTTCCATGATAATTCACGGCATTAACCATGCCGAAAATGAGACAATAAGGCCATCGATCTTCCTAATCTACTCCGACGGTTGGAAAAATGATTCCAAAATGAGCAGCAAAATGCTCATCATATTTTTAACAGAGAAGGGCATGGAGTAGAGCAAAAATCTAAAAACTACTGGGGAGCTGTGAGGAACAGCGTGAACTTGTGAGGGGAGCAGTGAGTTTAAATACTTCCGAAAGATAACAATTTTTTTGGTGTTCTTTGACTTACCCTTTACACACGTAATTCTATCGAAAGCCTTAAATATAGGGCTCTTTTAGAGATCAGGTTCGGAATCTTATTTTAGCTTGAAATCTTCCGTCCCTTGGGGTGAGGGTAGCGGCACTTTCCCCGTTGGCCGTGACAGGTACAGAGGGATCTGGAAACAACATGACGATCAGGAGATATACACATCTTTTATAGGTGGAAGAGAAGAAAAATATTTGATCAATTTGCTGTTCTTTTATTTGCTTCTTGATTGCTGTCATTTTCTCCTTGAAAGAAACCGTTTGGCTAACACGCGGATGTACGAATACTTGTCCTGCATTTTTGTGAGCTTGTAAAATATTCTCAGTGCAAGTGCACGCACACTAAACACAAAGGTCAATTTTATACGTAATACCCTTCTTTAGAAAATTGGGAGCGTGTTTGGAAATTCTCTTCGTTTGAGCTCATCGAAGGATTTGTGATGTCTTACATTCGCATTTTGGGAGGTACTGCAGCCGTGAGCGGTGGACTTTATGCATTTTATAGATTTCGTGACAAGAAACAACAGGTATGTAAAATTTTTCAATGTTCGTTTGAAATGGGTTTGTTCACTAACCTGTTTAGTGCACGTGCTTCGTGCAATTCAGATTTACTAGCTTCAAGCCTTGAATAGCCACATTCAATATGTTAAAATTCAGCCTAGAACAAGCAGAATTCTCATCCAAAAGTAGTTGTAGGAAAGTAGTTGTAGGAAGGGACATTATAGTGAGTGCCCCCTCCCCCCCGACCTCATCAGCAGTCTTTGTGTGGGTAGTAAACCGATGTGGAGTTTTGGGGCTTATTTTCCAGAGACTCATAGCGGTATCTATTGTTTCTAGCTGAAAGTTAAGATAAAGTCAGGCCATTGTTCTTTCATCATTTTTTTTTCTGTTTTCTGCATGTTTGTGTGTTGCAAAATTATGAGATGGATGGTCCCCTTAATAGTCTACACTTAAGCCATAACCTGCACCCACAATACTGTCTACAGTTCCCATTTTCCAGTAGCAGAGATGTCGTTAAGAGCCGGCTGCCAGCTAATTTCACCGGCTGAAAAAGAGCTTACCACCAGCTCAAATTGCAAACGAAAACAAAGTTGCATTTGAGTAAAAAAACCAGCTTGACTAATAAAAAAGCCTTCTTATCCTTTCCTTAGCTACATCCCTGCTGTAAGGCTGTAGAGATGAGTGGTTTACTATGATAAGCAACTGTCTTTGTGTCAAATAATGTACAGAAGGGGCAGGCAAAAGGGAGTGGTAGCAAAGGCACAAAAAATACTTTCTCTCACTTCCCTTTGAACCTAACCCCTCCCCCTGATTCTCTCAGTAGATTTGATACTTCTCTCCAGGATATGGTCAGTGTATGCTTCCACCATCATGTTATGCTTTCATAAAAATGATCAGATTCTGGCATGTTATGTGCTTCCAGCAACTTTGAAGAATCTTATCCTATGGCTGATTCACACAAGTGGAAGCAAAGGGAACACATGTCAAGGCTGTGCTCTTAGGAAAATATTGAAGGGAGCCCAGTGCACTGAACCTGTAAAATCCAGGGTGCCCAGCATATGATTTGTACAAAAAATCTGAGATTTTCTAGTCACCCAGGAGCAAAAGTTTGGCGCCAGGGGCCACTGGGCTCTGCTAAAGCACAGCCCTGCATGTCCAAATTAGTTTAGTTTGGTTTAGTTTGTGACCCTGCCAATTTGGTAGGGTCATCACAACAGTATAAAGTCTATAACTACTGTAAGCCCTTAATAATGGTCCCCTTCCCATTATGAGAGATAGATCACACCACTAGGGTCTCTTTCCTTTACGTTTGCCAAACAACAGTGTGGGTTCCTAACCCTCCCGACCCCCTCCTTTCAACAAATTATCATCAAGTGCAAGTGCTGACATGCACAAGAATATGTTAGTAACATCGCATTCTTTTGTTGCAGAACTCTTTATTATCCCCGGTTATTGCTGCAGAAAAGACAGTTGTAGGACAACCAAATAACCCTCTTCCTTCAAGATCTGTTCACATCAATGCTTTGAAGAACACACCTGAATTTGATGTTTTGGTGATTGGTGGTGGCGCCTCTGGTTGTGGAGTAGCTCTTGATGCTGTGACCAGGGGTAAACAAGAATTTATTTTGAAAAGTAAAAAAATTGATTTGGCGAGGTGTCTGTTCAGTAAAAGATCACAGATGGCGTCACCCTGCCAGCAGAGTAATCTTTGTTGAGCATGCACAGCATGTTGCTAGGACTGAGGCCTAGGAGTACTTGCTACAGAGGGTTTTGTTATAACCATCCATTTATTAATAAATGGATGCTCATGCTAAAAAAAACCATTTTGATGGGAGAGAAGATTGACTAGTCCGGAGGTTTTGTTTGTGGCAACCTTCAAGGTTTGATGTGATTCAGGCAGAGCCTCATTATTTTTTCCTCCTCACTCAAGAATACAAAAGTGGAGGTGTGTGTGGCCAAGTGGTTAACACCTCGAACTCCGGATCTGGAGGTCTGGGCTTCAAGCCTCGCCTGTCATGTTGTTTCCTCAGACAAGGAACTTTACTCCACTTTGTCTCTCTTCACCCAGGTGTATAAATGGGTACCAGCGACATACTGCTGGGAGGTAACCCTGCGATGGACTACCATCCTGTCCAGGGGGGAGTAGCAATACTACTAAGTGCTTCATGCTAATGAAACCAGGATAAGCTCCGTCCCTTTGAGCCTTTACCTTTTTTTTACCAAGAATACGAAAGGAGGCTCTGCTTGTAGACTATGTGAGATGGCATTAAAATTATTGTGGTTCAATTATTGAGAACAAAAAGTGCCCAATGTCAGCTCAGTCATCTTTCTTTGTAAAGGGCCTATCATAATTCTGGTTTTGTACTTGTCTGGCATCAGTAAAAGTAGTATAATTTTTAATTCTTTTTCCATTCTTAATGCCTATTATTAACACTCCATTGTGGTTCCATCCATGAATGCTAAAATGCATGTACATCATTTTGCACTTTTGAATGATGATGATGATGATGGTGGTGGTGGTGGTGGTGGTGGTGTTAAGAGATGATAATAAGGAGTGATTTTGATTGATTTATAGGCCTGAGCACAGCTTTGGTGGAAAGGGATGATTTTGCATCTGGGACTAGCAGTCGTAGTACCAAACTAATTCATGGAGGGGTGCGTTATCTACAAAAAGCCATTATGCAATTGGATAGGGAACAGGTAATTTGCATGTTAAGTGCAAAAATATACTTCCATTGAATTATGCAAGAAGATAACTTGTCAATTTTTATTTTATTGGCGGCATTTTTTGCACCAGTTTTTAGATTATTGATATACCCAATGTAAGTTATTTCTTTTGTTTTGTGTTGACAGTATCGCCTTGTAAAGGAGGCACTGCATGAAAGAGCCAACTTGTTGGCTATTGCACCACACTTATCTGCTCCTTTGCCAATCATGCTTCCTGTTTACAGGCAAGTGATGTTAACTGTTCATTGAAATTATTACCATGTACAGTTAAACGCTGTTAATACAGACATCGAGGGGGCCATAGAATGTGTTCTTTTTTTTAACAGGATGTCCGTTTTTAGCGGGTTGAATTTAGAGGAAATGTAGGGGCTTTCTTGCTTTCCCCAATGACAAAGCAACTGTCCAAAATAATGGAGTGTCCACCTTAAGTGGATATCCGTAACGTGGGATTTCACTGTACCTGGTACCTTAAATATCACTGGAATTTCAAATCATAATCAATTTCCATGAAGTTATTTTAATGACCAGAATTACTTTGAGTTAGCCAAAGGTTTGAGTTACTGAGAGTAAAATTACAGTAAATGTATGAAGGAAATCCAGGAGAAATCAACTTTGGTTTGAGTTAGCGCAAGGTTCAATTTAGTGAGGGATTTAAGTTATCGGGAGTCAACTACATGTATTTCTCACCGCAACAGTAATATGATAGTCATATTATAAATAATTATACTACTACATGAGAAATTTCTGCAATTTGATTGGCTTAGAGCAGTGGTATTTCACCTTAATTTGAAATACCTACATGTGAAAATTACAAACCTTTTTCCGGGTAGCAGTATAAACAAATAATAGCATGATTTGTACTTGATATTTGGCATAAATATCACTCGTGGTATTTATGCCAAATATCACTTCTAATCATGCTATTACCTATACTAATATTATTATTTTCATTAAAAATTAACTAAATTTGTACTTTTTTCCTTCTTTTCAGATGGTGGCAACTCCCTTACTTTTGGGCTGGAATCAAAATGTATGACCTTGTGTCGGGTCGTCAACTTCTCAAGAGTAGCTATGTTGTTGGAAAAAAGAAGGCTTTGGAGCTCTTCCCAATGCTTAAAAAGGACAAATTGTGTGGAGCAATTATTTATTATGATGGTGAGTCATGGACCAAATTTGAAGATAGGGAGCTCTTTTATATCTGACCAGTTACACTTTACCTCTGAGACCAGCTTTTAACATACACTAGCTTACAATAAAGATGACTTGATTTAAGTGTACTGGTAAATTTAGCATGAAGTGCTGATGGACGACACTGTTCTATGTCCACTCCTTTTCTGGAGAGAGCACCAAATATTTATGTTCTCATTTGAATGCCAAAAAGGTCTCACTAGTCATTTGAAGGGCAGCTGGCAGTATGCTCTTTGTCTGTCAGTCATTTTAAGATTATTTTAAGTCCAATTGCAGATTGATGCTATCCCTGGCATGATCAGCAAGTTCACTTTTGAAGAGACTCAAGCCAAGCTCTGAAGTTTGCATTAGGGAGGTGTATTTTGCTTCATACCAAGTTTACTTGCCGACAAACAAGTGATACCCAGATAATCAATGATATAAGAGCCTTAGAGAGCTTTAGATACAGAGTTTTGCAGGCTACAGACAAACAGGTGTTTTCATCATCAGCTTTTCTTCTTATTTTTCCTAACCTTGCTGTCTGCCAGGTAACAATGACCTAAAATGTGAACGTGGGGCCATTCAAGGCTACAACCATTTTGTATGCTGAAAAGACAGGAAGATAAATATACAGTACTTGTAATTCCAAAAAGATTTTTTCGAGAAACCTGAAAGTTCACTTATATGTTCCTATGTAATAAAAGGTTTATTACGTGTAATTTTCTAGGACAACATGATGATGCAAGAATGAACCTCGCTATCGCACTTACTGCTGTCAGGCACGGGGCATCTGTGGCCAACCACGTGGAAGTATTATCTCTTCTTAAAAGAAAGGGTAGGAAGCAGTAGAGCACACTAAGCACTGGTGTATGGTCGTTTCGCCAAGGTCCTTTTCGCTATCTTCGGAAGTCGTTTCGCGTACGTGTTGGGTCAGTTCCGTAACTGCTTTCGCCTGATCAAAGAACGAGGTATATACACGCGTGTCACACTTTTTTGTATCATGGCCGAGAGAACGAAGCCTTTACATGCGCAGCGCTCTTTTCGCTTCTTAGCGGAACGACGTAAGACGTTAGCGAAACGACCGGCACCTACGAAAACAGATTATTTTGCTTTTTATGAGTCGTAATTTTTCCTGAGGGTAAGCAAAGAGAGACATAAAGTTTCTAGGGGAACAAAATTAATTAACCTTAACTTCCGTCTACACGAAACCCGCAATGTCCGGCACCAACCTGAAAACAGTGGTTTTCCAAAACAGTCCGCAGAGTGAAGATTTTTTGAAACCGCCGGCTTCTTGTTTACGTGTGAACGGACGGAAACGTAGGTTTTCGAATACGACGATGTTAGTATAAGCAGCAGTTACTACATTTAAATACGGTCGCCATGCGACCACCTCATACAAGGAAACCTCTCGTAAACGAACAAGTGACATTTTCCATTGTTTTTAACCTCTTTTAAGCGACCACTAGACGAATTATCTGATTTCTATGTTCACGCTGTGTGTACTTACAGGAGGTTTGACTCTACCCTATTTGCTGGGGCAGCAATTAATTATAGCATGTCTCCTTTCAATCGACTTAATCCAAGCAAAAAAAACTATGCAACTTTTAATGAACGTTTTTCTACAGAAGAAGACAAAGAGGATGAAGTAGTTTGTGGGGCTCACGTTCGTGACGTGATTACTGGCGAGGAATTTGATGTACGAGCAAAGTGCGTCGTGAATGCCACAGGACCCTTTACTGACGCAATACGGAAGATGGACGATCCAACAGAGAGGAATATCTGCCAGCCAAGCTCCGGGGTGCACATCGTACTGCCAGAATACTACAGGTACTGTAGGCTGAGAAAACAGCCGACATTTGTAGATGCCACCACTGGTCTCCCAGCGAAACGAGCCCAGAAATTCCATACTGATGACGTGTCACTACCCAGATCAGGGTAGTGCTTTTGATTGGTTGATGCAATTTTCCTACGTGGCACGACCAATCAGAAGCGCTACCCAGATCTGGGTACTGACGCGTCATCAGTATGGAATTTCTGCACTCGTTCCTCAGTCGTCATTTCGAGGAGAAAGCATTGGTGACGTCTCGAAATGTCGGCTGTTTCCTTGGACTGCAGCCGCCAGTTGTTCAATAGCGCTATTCTTCGGATAAATCTCCATCCACTGGATAGCGTAATTGGTTTTCCTAATATTCTTCGTTCTTTAAGGCAAGTATGTACGAGAAACTATTTACACCTCGACTGAATAAACTTGTATCTTAACAATTCGTATCGGAATGACTCTGGATAAAAACGATCAGTAACCCGGACACCGGTCGTTTCGATACGATACGACCTCGCTCAAGCATTGCAATTATTACACAAAAACATTTCGATCACTTCAGTACAATAAAGTCAACATACACATCTTTGACGGCTTCCAATCGTTTCGCTACAAAGTTTTTCGTCACATTTTGCAGCGTAATATTTCAGCTAATCAGGTTTCAGTTTGAAAGAGAGTGCTAGCGTCAACTTAGAACTTGACGCAAGCAACTCGGAAAAAACGCTAGCTTGACGGCCTAGCTACCACGAGTGTCGTGTAGCTAAGTGGTAGAGCATTTGAACTAACAACCAGATCGAGAATGTCAACTCTTGTTGATAGAATTCGATTTTGTTTTGTCTTTGTCGCCTGTATCACTGACAAAAAAATAATCAGTTCATTCTGTTTTGAAAGAAACTAATCATGCTTTTTACTTTTATTTTAGTCCAAAAGATATGGGTCTTCTGGATCCAGCGACGAGCGATGGACGAGTCATCTTTTTCCTTCCTTGGGAAGGTGAGATGTTTAAGTCTTACTAAAAGTTAGAAGGCCTTACTATGGGTCCCAAGGGGGGGTACTTTAGGAATTTCTGGGTGGGGATGTGCCGCTGGGACCCTGGAACCCTTAACCTATATCAGAGCTAGTTCACTAAATTTTGCTACCCTATACTAGAGTAAACTCTCCAAATCCCCCCTATCCTAGGATAGCTGTTTCCCTAGTCTAGATAAAATCTTCAACCAACTGATCAGTTTCCTGAAAAATGATACTCTATTCTAGACCCAAACGCTCTGATTTATATACCCTATCCTAGAGTAAACTGCTTGAAAACCATACCCTTCACAGCGGTACATACCTATATAGCCCATATATGGCATAGCCCCCGGGGGGCTATGGGTGCCTTTTGCTGTTGTTTTTTGTATTGCTTTGTCTTATTTCCAAAAGGAAGTAGCAAGGTATGGAATCATCAGCGTACTATTGAGTTTTTTTGTTTAATGCGTCTCGCAAATACGATATTACAGCCAACCACTGATATTTTTAAAATCGTTTCCTTGTCATATTGTAGGAAAAACAATCGCTGGTACAACGGATTCCCCAACAGAGCTGTCGCCCAACCCGGCCCCAAAAGAAGCCGAGATTCAGTTTATTCTTAGTGAAATCAAGCATTACCTTACTGAAGATTTAGAAGGTAAGAGTCCTAAACCAGTAAGCAGTTTCTCTAAGATATGCCTGACAGGATCCTTGCCTCCTGTGTAGAGGTTTTTTAGAATTCGTCGCGCATTGTACCTTTTCAAGGTCATGCGACAATCGCTCTATCAATGCTTTGTTGCAGTTCGTCGTGGTGATGTACAAGCGGCTTGGAGTGGTATCCGACCTTTGGTCATAGACCCGAACTCTAAAAGTACCGCTTCAATCGCCCGCAATCACCTGATTTTGGTCAGCAAAAGTGGACTGGTAACGATTGCTGGAGGTAAATGGACCACCTACCGCTCCATGGCAACAGATACCATGGAAGCCGCTATTAAAGCTCGCGGGCTGCAGCCTGCTAGGAATTGTCAGACCGACGGACTGTTCCTCGAGGGAGGAGAGGGTTATACGTCAAATTATTTCATCCGACTTGTACAGGATTATGGTCTTGATGTTGAGGTTCGTCTAATGGCTGATTTATGTACACCTCATTTGATACTTTGATGTATGATTAGATAAGTCCAGATATTTTGTTAATTATTTGATTGCTTAATATTTAAATTTTGCGAACTTTCCCAGTAGCTTCTCAACATAACCGTTTTTCTCGTGCAGTGCTTCACTCTTGCTTATAATGCAGGCGGTGTGGGAGGGGGGGTGGGGGCGCAGAAATGCTAGAATTTGCTAGAGTTGTCACATCTTTTGCTTTAAAAATCATACAAGAGCTACGGAGCGCCCTCAGTCGCTCGAAAAATATGCCTACACTGAATGCTAATCCTGAGCGTGCGCACTGATGTTTTGATTTCCTACTCTATCTAACCAGTCGAACTGGATTGGTCCATGTTGAAACTGGTTTGAATTCGAATACTGCATTGGACTCCTAGTAAAGTGCACTCTGTTTTAGTTAACAGACTTGTAACCATTGAAGAGTTTGGTGGTGCAGAAGAGAGACGGCGTTTTACCGTATGATGCCTCGCGCCTATACGTCGTTTCGAATAAAAATGATTCATACGAAAAGGGGTGAATTGGGGGGCAAAAGAGAACCAACTTTTAGTAGTTGCAAAACAAACAGTTACTGCCCTGGGTAGCCGGTTACATATAACGCGCGTAAGGTAACAAGATCGTGAGTGAGGAAGCTATGAGGAGAATTTCAGTTTGTTGATATAACTGTCGGTTGGTCAACTGGTTCAAAAAAAAAAATTGTAAAGTTTGCTTACCTGAGATCAGGCCCAACGTTATCAACTTGCGTTAGCCGGAAATTTACATGCCAAGCCAGACGAAAAAAGAGCGTGTCTCAGGTTTTGTTGTTCTTTTCTGTGGGCTAAACTGGTCAAGTCTTGGTTGCTTGTTGATGATAAACGCGAACTTAACATGAATTCCATTTCTGTTAAACAGGTTGCCAAGCATCTCGCTCATTCTTACGGAACCAAAGCACCGGAAGTTATTAAACTAGCCAAAGTAACCGGAAGTCGTTGGCCAGTCTTGGGAAAGCGTCTTGTGGATGAATTTCCATATATTGAAGCGGAAATTCGCTATGGTGTACAGGAATACGCATGCACGATTGTAGACTTCCTTGCCAGGAGAACACGACTTGCGTTTTTGAATGCTCAAGCCGCTGCCGATGCCATTCCGAAGATTGCCGACATCATGGCGAAGGAACTGAACTGGTCCAAGGCCAAGAAGGAGGTAATGTTAATATACTTGTGCCAACCTGTTGAAGGGGGTGGGGAAGGGAGGATGACTGAAGGCAAGGCAGGTAGACATTAGGATAAATTTATCCACAATGTCTTCCGCACATTGGGCTTCGTCTGTTCCATACTTGAAGTGCGGGATGGTTAAGATTTGTGTCTTCCATGCAAGTGAAACCTTTTCTACCGTAATGGTCTCAATGTGGAAAGTGCAATCGGCGACAAAATGAGTTCAGACACCGCAAAAGGACCCTTCTGACGTGTTGCCGTCTTAAAAAGGAGAAAATCAAGTTTTCCCTCCCCCATCCCCTCCATGCAATGTCGCGCTGCTGTTCGAGCTAGGAGACAACAAACATCCCAACTTTGAATGGAGGGGCTCGATTCCCAGCGGGGTTCAAATAAGATGTTCTCTGCCTCGCGTTCTTTTCTCTTGTATGATCCTCATGCGTTGATCACCAAAGTTATTAGTCTTCTTTATTTTTAGGCCGAGATCCAAGAAGCCCGAACATTTCTCGACACTGGTATGGGATTGGACGTTCATGAACACGTTCGGCGCGTGGAGGTGAATTTCAACGACGAGGAAGTCAAACAATACGAGAAGATGTTTCAGAAAATTACCAAAACCAAGCGAGGATGTTTGAACTCCTTTGACTTGAGAAACATGTTGAAGGAGATGGGAGAAGAGGTATCTGACAAGCAACTTCATGAGCTTATAGCTGAAGTGGATATTAATAAGAATTCATGTGTGGAGCTGGATGAGTTTCTACAGGTTAGTTACTGAAAATCCTAATATCAATATACAGATTCTCCAAATTGTTCCGCCCTGCTACATTTAAGACTAATGTGGGGAACTTGCTTAACAATCGAGACCTTTTGTGCTCGCTGATCATTTCCTGGATTCTCATGAACTATACTTTTGTTTTAGTGGTGATACTGACGGGAGAAATTAGATTCCTGTCACTTTTGGGGTTAACAGGGAGACGTCGTGACCCTGTAACCCACTCAAAAATTAGTGAGACGTGGACTCGCAATCTGGTAGCTGGTTGTTTTGTCGGAGAGAGCGTTGAAGCCGCGAGTAGAACGAGGCGGAATCAACGAGAACAACAATAACAATGGTTTTTCTTTTCTTGTGGCCTCGCCGCTTGAAGTCCGCGCGAACTTTCATAACTTCACCGCTCGTTTGCGCTCATTTGCGCGCTCGCCAGACAAAATCGCCAGCTACGCAGGCTAGCAATCCGGATATCGTAAGACCGAGTCTTGCTCTGACCATGCGCTGTGTTATTGGCGATCTGCTTGTCAATACTGAACCAATTGTTTGCGTCGCGCCGGGTGACGTATTTACTCCTGATATATTGTATTTGGGCTAGAGGAGAGCATAAAAAGACCATTATCCTCTCTTGATTTGGGTTGTTTGTTTCAACTTATCGAGGTCGCGTGGTCTGACGTTGTTTACTTGTAATATGTAAGGCCCACAAAATCCACAGTGGTATACTTCCTAGATTCGAAAGGCGTCAAGTCTAGCCCGCTTGGCACGAGTCGGCTTTTAGAGCGGAAGGAGAAACTTCGAGGACGCGCGCACGGACGAAGGGAAAAATGGAGGAGAGGCCTCCCCTCCTATAAAAACTAACCAAATAAACCGTCGCCTGGCACGCAGGCTACGTCGTCTCTGGTTGCAAACGGAACCTATAATTTTGGTCTGTGAGTCCAGCGCGGGAGAGAAATTTGGGATGGACATTTCATTACCTTTACTCAGATTTTGTTAAAATCAACTTTTGGTGAATGTTTTTATTACTGTTTAGCTGATGAGCGCTCTAAAGACAGGAGCTGTCGCCAATAATCGTTTTGCGGTCATCATCGATCGACATCACAAACATTTAACAGAACAGATACCTGTGGACAGGAGCGGTGGTGGAGTATGACGTCATTAGGTCATGTGACTTGGCACCGGCTCCCTGATTGAGTAGATGGACAGTGAATGTATAACGCGACTACTAACGACATGTTTGAAACACCAAGCGTCCTAAAAACAAGGGCTTAATGTATTGTTTAATTGCACGGTGCTTTACAGGGTCATAAGTGGGTCCTGACCCCGCCCACAGAGGTGGTATGAATAAACTAGACTCCTTTGAAGTTTATTGATTTACTTTGCAAACTGGTGCTCCTTAATTGAAGAGGAATTGCTAAATTTACAAGAAAATTCAACAGGATATAAAATCGTAAATTATTCGCCTTGTGCCAAACTCGAAAAAAATTCGCATCTGTCGTAACCTCAGTTTAATTAAACTGTTCACAGTCCCCTATTTTTCCGTAAGGTCGTTGAGATCGATCACCTTGCCTTACGGGTGGCCGATGGCGACCTTGGTTTCAGATGGTCCAAGACGTTTTTAGCCCTGGGATAAGTGTCAAATCTACTTAGGAGGATGAGGACGGTTTGCGAGGAGAAGAGAGAAATTCTCGCCTCCCCCTCTTCCCCCCTCGGTACATATGCAACCAAGATGGCCACCGGTACCGATAAGCGCTCGATCCCGACGAAGTTACGAAAAAATTGGGGACCGTGAACAGTCTACAGTTTAATTCGTTATTGTGCTATACCTTTAGAGATCATGCACTTCATAACAAATGCTTCCAAGCGTCTTTGTTAAAGATGACAGGGTTGCAAGAAGTTTTAAAGATTTCGAATGAGGATATTTTCAAAGTGGGACCTTTCAGAATTTTCATATAGAACTCCCAGGGACGCAAAAAGAAGAATTTGCCACCGCCGTAGCAAATTAAATACAATGAATTTATTTACAAGAATCCTTTATTCCAAATAGTATATAAATAGCAATCATACAAATAGTAACAAAATATTATAACAACACTGAGACAGGGAGAAATCACTGTAACCCAGGTCTTCCCTTTGCTCTGATTGTTAAGAAGTTTTGGGCAAGAGGTTGCTGAAATCTTTTGAGCTCTGATGGTGATTTCTTCTGGTGAATGCTCGGGAATTTACATCGAAACAATGGCATGGCAACCACAACGACAGGTTAAAAAAAGAATTTGTTTTATAAAACTTAATTCAAAATCAGGTGCTAGTTTGGCCCAGGTTCATCTCGACCCAGATCACTGCCCACAGACAGAGTCCAAGGCGATCTGGGTACAGGATTGTAATGTTTTTCGAAGGATTGAGAGTTGATCTGAATTTTCCTTCTTTACAGTTTGTGTTTATTACTAATATAGTACTTTAAGCGCTTTTACTTTCTATTTAATTCTATTTTTCATAACAGGGTAGTGTAAAGAAAAGTATTTATTTCTGTTTGCCTTTGTGGTAGTACAATAAACGTTGTCTTGGTGTTTGCAAATCGTTGTATGAATTGTCGGTAAGCAATGTAGTTCAGTCGTTTCATGCATGTTTGCAGCCATTCTTCGGGTTTTTATTGTATTTTTTAAAGCACATATCCTGAGAAAACAGCCGACATTTGGCGACACCACCACTGGTTTCTCCGCGAAATGAGGTCATTCTCGCCCCCAGGGCCTCCTGGGGGCCTGAGCACGACGTCCAGAAGGCTCTGGGTACACAGGATTTGAAGTCCTAGATTTTAGGACTTCCGGTCATTTCCGATTCAAAAGTAAGTTGGAGGATTCTCTTTTAAAAGCTTTGAATCACCTAAATTTACAGTCATTGACACTTCTGCAAGAGCAAGTGAACGCTATTTTAAAAACGTTGTAGAAAATCAGAAATGACCGGAAGCCCTAAAATCTAGGACTTCAAATCCTGTGTCCCCAGAGCCTCCTGGTCCTCGTGCTCAGGCCCCCAGGAGGCTCTGGGAACGAGAATGGAAATGACGTCTGAGGAACAAGCGAGGAAATTGCATAATGATGATAGGTCACTATCCCGATCTGGGTAGTGTTTCTGAATGGTTGGAAATTTGCTTCATCATCCAATCAGAAGTGCTAGCCAGGTCTGGGTAGTGACGCGTCATCAGTGTGTAATTTCTGTGCTCGTTTCTCAGACGTCATTTCGCGGGTAAACCAGTGTTGGCGTCGCAAATGTCGGGTGTTTTCTCAGGTTACAGAGCAAAAAGTTCGTAAACATCTCACTAGGTCTTCGAGGGCGCTAGGAGTGCACGCACATTGATAAGTCGCAGGAGCCGATTACTGCAAGTCGTCATTCAGAAATCTCGCTCTATAGTAATACACAAGATTCTGTAAACCATCTTGGGGTCTCTGGTTAATTCGAAAAAGAAAGTTCTTATTTTATCTTAGCCTGAGAAACCCCGCGAAATGACGTCTGACAAAACGAGCGCAGAAATTTTGATGCTGATGACGCGTGACTACCCAGATATGGGTAGTGCTTCTGATGAGTTGAGGCCAGAGGCAAATTTTTAGCCAATCACAAGCACTACCCAGATCTCTCGTTTGTCAGACCAGTGGTGGCATCGCGAAATGTGGACTATTTCTTAGTCTAATTCTATCTGAGTTCTTTTGGGATGATCTGGACCCGGCTCAATAGTTATGGTCATGGTTTATCAAAGGTACCGATGAATTTTTGTCCGGACGAGATACGATTTAGCTGTTCCTTTGGTGCACTATGATCAGAGCGGATTTTATGATACTTATGGTTCATCCCAAAACCGCTCGCTCTTTGTTTCGGAAGCGTCATTAACAAATAACACTTAAGATTTTTGAAGATATTTTTTTTTACAGTGCGGAGATGGAAGGTCACGCGTTCTAAGGGGGTGGGGGAAGGGGCGGAGGAGGGATTAAGTACTCTTAGTTGATTTTCAAATAGAGAGCTTTTGATTCTGAGACGAGGACGACTACGACTACGAGATTTTCTCAATACTGTGTATTGTGTATATTGCTCACGCGTGAACAAACGTCATTTTGGCGGGAAAACGTGATAGTAGACGTCATTCTAAAAGCAAAATGGCGGTCACTGTGACGTCATATATGACGTCATCTTATCTTGACTAACTGTAACAAACCTAAAATAATATCTCTGGCACCTATTATTTCAAATAAACTTCAAAACAAAATCGTGTGTTTTTAAGAGAAAAACGAGGGTTTGTTTACAAATCCAAGATGGCGACCAAAAGAAGGGTATTAGGGGCAAGTTTAAAATTTGATGTACAAAGTGAAAGCTACCGCTCCATCCTTGCTATCATGCATTTTTGCGATGCTTATTAGTCAAAGATTAAGATTATAGATGTTTTGTTTGTTCCCCTTAAGTGAGCCATACAACCCCCCTAGCTGATGGACTATCCGAGTTTTAGCAAGAATGTCGTAGTGGGGGGAACAAGTTATCAAATGAAAGAAGTTTTATCATTTTGCTATCGGGAGAGGGCTTAACCGCTGTTGTTTCTGTTCCAAGACTGTAAGCTCCTAACAAAACAAAACAAAACTATCTCGACAAATCTCGACAAGTCTCGAGTCAAGTTCCATCCAAGAGTCCGAGTTCAACAACAACGTCACATGACATAAACACGTGATAATTGTCACGACGTACGTAATGTAACGCAACTCGAAATGTCACTAACAACCGCCTTCAGTTTAAATCATCGTGCTAACTTTTTTGGTGGAAAAAAGTAAAATGAAGCTTTCCGAGGTGTTTTTTATTTTTGTAAACCACGCGCAAAAACTTTAAGTTAAATCTCCTACTGGTACTAGTACTCCTCCATGTAGGAGTTGCTCTAGAACTCGATCTGTCTTTACTTTTTGGACAACCTGTTTAACCTGTTAAACCTGTTAAACTCTCAGTAAACTGAATCAATTTCCGTTACGGTAAAAATGGGAATAAAACGCCGACCTTTTTTTTTCGTTTACAACCTCGATCCTAATGCCATGGGTGTTAAAAAAAAGGTGCGTTTATTTAATTAACTCGATGTTTTAAAACCTAAGTTTTATGCCATGTGATATTTAAGTATCGTATGGAATGTACTGCTTTCAAAACATTGCCTGGTAACTTCCGACTAGCCGATTTAATGTTGTCTCTCGCTTCTCTGCGTCCATGGCAACAGATCAGTATATCGAACGAAGGATTGCCCAAAGGCACATATCAATATCAAGATCGAGGATTTCAATTAAACATGTTTGTCATTAAAGACTATTTATCATAATATTTAACTAGGAGGTATTTCTATTTACGGCATTCATTATTTTCATGCATGTGTCAAAAGCACGAAGACCATGGCGAAAACCTTGAAATTTTCACTTGAAATCAGAAGAATGATTTAATAGGGCTAACATGAATGGCAAGGAAGGGGACACCATGGAGCTACAAACGTTGTTGAGCCCAAGACAAGAAGAAAAGGAAAGCGTTGAAAGTAAAAAAGAGGATATAAACTCAAGTGAAGGTAGCTGGTGTCGACTATACTATTATTATTACAAACTAGTAAGAAACTCTTTGGAGCTTAAATCAAAATTTACTATTCATATTGAAAAGCGCCAGCTGGATGATTTCCGTTATAAATAAAATCACCCTGAATTGTACGATCATTTAATTTCAACCGGATGTCGCCCTGCCAAGGTATTCCGATTCTAAAAACTTTTCGTCATCGCTGTTTCAATTTCTTGGAGTGAAACTAAGTTAACTAGTCTCCCTACCAAGGCAAAACAAAGCAACACAAAATCATTACTCATTTGCGATGGGAGATCGCCCTCACATGGAAGTCCTCCAGCTGGGTAAACTCTTTGCTACCGTGGATGAATAGCTGAATGTCCTTTGTATCACACTGTACAGAGTCTACAGTTAAACCCGAGCAACTACCTTTAGAGAGATATTTTCGTTTTTATTACATTTACGTTCGTGACATGAACTTTTAATACAAGCTTGTTAGTAGTTTTGACTACGTAAAAGTTCAATTTGAACAACACTTGCCTGAGGTAATATATTATAGCTCTTTTTAATTAGGCTCGCATGAATGAATTGAAAGTTAAACTAAGCAGTATTGGCCTACTGTATCTTTTATAAGGCTATATATTCTTTCAGATTTTTAAATAAAAAAATCAGTAAACTAAAGGTGCATTTTTTTTTCAGAAATAAGAAATTACACGCTTTGGAAAAACGCAGCTATTTTTATTTCTTGTGCTTCCATTATTTTTACCACTGTGTTTGGTTTAACTTTCTTCGGTAAGTAAACACGCAGTTTTGTTTCAGCCTCTTGTGGTTTATATAGATGCTCCATTTTTTAATATTGTTACTGTTTTATTTTCGAATAGTAACTTCTCAAATTGCTAAAAGTCCAGCAGCTTTTGGATTTGCCGTAAGTCACATTTTCATTCGTTTTAGTGTAATACGAAATTAATGTAAACAAGGTAAACGAAATGTACACTTAAATTAGAAGAATAATTTCCATTTAGTTCTTTGATCTCTAATAGCTATTTGGAAAGTAGTGATTTTCAGCTATAGAAATGTTAAACGTGAACAATGGTGAAAATTTACGCAGTATCCTTAAAAAAGTAGCCCTTTTAGTGTTTATAAGGTTTAAAGTCAAACCAACGAAGACAGGGTTGTTACAGCTGTAACATTATTTAAAATAAACATAAACGTTACCATTATAGTCGGCTTCATCTGACACATTTACATACGGCAACTCCAATGAATATTGTACTTGAATTTTGATTGGGAAACTTTGGCTGTTATAAACCTAACTATACTTATTACTACCTTGCTTTTCTAGGAATACATTTTTTTTTCTTTAATTTTTATTCTTCCACAGGTGTGTGAAAAACAAATTTTAAAATATTCTTTGTAAACAACTAAAAAACATTTTACTTGAAAAGGCTGAATTAAAACATGATACTGTAGGAACAAAATACATTACAATACAAAGACTAGATGAACTCTTCGAACCTTTATCAACGGCGTCTTCACCACAATAGCAGCTTTCGTTTATTTCATTATTCTATTTTTTCTTTGATTTAATATACATTGGTTTTTTTTTATTCCGATGAAAAGTCGATAAATTCGATTTTCATAACATGTTTCATGAGAATTTCAACGCGAAGAGGGAGAGGGAGGCGTCCATTCCTGATCTTCCGGTTCTTCGCCTGCGCGTAATTTGACGCCCTTCCTTCTGGTTTACGATGCTGAATAGCGTACTGACTTTGAAAAGTCTAATTCCAGTTTTACGTGCTTTAAAGCACTACAACCGCTCCACAGCTTCACTGACAGTTTCCCTTATGATAAACCAAAAAAGCACAATATTCTGTTTCAATACCAATTTGCCGATTTCGCAAAGGTAACTCAACATCTCAGGCCATAACTGAGCTCACTGACACTCTAAGGAAGGTTATTGATAGCAACCTATACACCTCTGATGTTTTCCTGGATTTCTCGAAAGCGTTCGATACTGAAAATCACGAAATTTGTCTCCAAAAGTTAGAAGCATAGGGTATTACAGGTTTGAAATGGTTCAGTAGCTACTAGACTTTCAAAAAAGTCCTTCATCTGATCTGATATGGCGCGGGGACTCGCGACTTCGTCGCTCGCTTGGCCGCTTCAGGGCCTAAATAGCTCGCTCCGTTCTGCTTAAAAAACTCGTGGGGTCGACTTGTAGCTAGTCCAAGTAGCTACCTAACAAACAGGCAACAGCGACACTGCACTACGAAAGGCAGGCCTGCTCCACACGTATCCGGATATTTTTGAATCCTCAACTTTTCCTTTCCGGATACGGCTTCCGTCCACACGTATCCGGTGAATCCGGCAGACGAATCCGCTCTTCAGAGTTGAATACGCTACGAATCCGGAATAGTGTGGACCCTTGATCCAGATATCTTTTTTATTCGGTGACGTAACAAGATCGAGCCCAGTTCTTTACCGTGAATACTGTATTCAAGATGGTAACCTCAACGCATGTTCTGTTGCCAATATTCCCAGAGGAGTCCAGGGTACCAGGATGAATCCGGATACGTGTCGGACACGTGTGGACGGGTAAATTCGATTTGAATACGGATACGTTTGGACGTGGAAATTTTTTAATCCGGAAAGAAAAAGTTGCGAGTTCAAAAATATCCGGATACGAGTGGAAGGGGCCACAGAATTGCCTATGCAAACGATGAGCTGTGGAATTCCCAAGGGTAGCACATTAGGACCATTACTTTTTATTATTTATATAAACGACTTACCCAACTGCTCCGTTGATGATAACAACGCATTCGACTCGGCGAACGACCTTAAAACCCTTGAGGCTCTTGTGAACTGCGAACTTAATTTGAAAAGGTGAAAGAATAGAGTGATGTAAATAAATTGTCTGTAGGTACGGGAAAAACTAGCTTTATAATAAATGAGTCAACTGAAAAAAAAGGCTAGGACAGTTAAATATTCATATAAGAAGCCAGAATGGAACGTGCTACTCTCTGGTTCGCAAGGGCCAAAAAAATATTTAGGGTAATGATCAATGATCATGCATCTCAAGGGAATAGCATATCTCATATATTTGCACACGAATTGCCGTTAATATAAAAATCAGGGCCTTTTCTATCTGTTAAGTTACTACAACTTAATTTATCCTTACGTATTATAAAAAAGTGCAAATTAAGCAAAATCTTGTAGCTTGGTTAATATCCTTTGTAAACAAACAGGGTATAGATATCAAGAGTGCTCTCCCGTTGCTGAATTTGCTAGACATGATACTCAGTATACAACGTTTATTATCTGCATACCTTAAAATTTACCCATCTCTGGCATAAAGGTTTACTACCCGATATATTTCGAGACGCCTTTCATTACGCTAGAATGTCCAATAGGTCGCTTTTTCAAAAAAATCAAACGTTATCTACTGTCCGGGCAATATTTGCCGAAACCAAACATTACCTAATTCTGCCTAAACTCACTTTGTTTTAAAACTTCTCCGTATTACTTTTGCAAAAAAATATTGTAAATTGTTCTTTTCTGTTTTATGATTTATTTCAATTCAGTATATATTTTGCTCTTTCTGGTTCCTCGCCAGTATATATTTTTAACGAAACGTAATCAGTATTATGGTGGCCAACTTAGTCATCATACTCGAACTTGAATATTAATAGAAACGTTTATAAATGTAACTGGGAACAACTAGCTAAAAAGGCTGAAACTTAGCACTAGGTAAAATATTGAAAGAAAATAAACTGAATTGAATTGAAACCCATGCGCGTAAGTCAAAAGCTTTATTAAGCCCATCGAAATCTAATCAGGAATCAGAAATCATTAATCAGACGGCCCCTTTGCGCTTGCGTAAAAGAAGGGTGGGATTTTAAGTCCAAGTATCACAATCTATGAATCAGCACAGAGTTTTATTATGAGTACTAGCATGATTATTTATCGCTTTAGTTTGAGCCCTATTTGATTTGCAGTTTGCGGCTGTGTTGGACTCGTTCACTTCAGCAATTGTTTTGTGGAGATTTGCCGGAATAGAACGCAATGACTCCGATTTCTCCGAACGCGAACAAGAAAAAGAAAGAAGGTATGTCAACAAATTGTTTGTTCGAATTACCCTACAGTAGCGGTCATTTGATAGCCTGAGTAAACAGACGACATTTAGAGACTCTACCACCGGTTTCCCGCGCCAAATGACGTCTGAGAAACGAGCGCAGAAATTGCATATTGATGACACGTCACTACCGAGATCTGGGTAGCGCTTCTGGTTGGTTGCATCAAATTTCCCACGCGGCACTACCAATCAGAAGCACGACCCAGTTCTCGGTAGTGACGCATCATCAGTATGGAATTTCTGCGCTCGTTTCTCAGACGTCATTTGGCACGGAAACCAGTGGTAGCGTCGCCAAATGTCGGCTGTTTTCTCAGGCTAGTCATTTGACAATGAGGTGTGCATCCAGTTTACTAAAGCAACTGCTCCTTGTAATTGAATCCAAGAAATCTTGGAATCTGGTTTCCATGCCATGGACCCCGGATTCCAGGTACGAGATTCCAGGATTCTTTGTCAGTGGAACTTGGATTCCGGATTCCTTAAGCTGTATTCCGGATTCCAAAGCCCAGAATTCCTGTTTTTACAAGCAAAAATTTTCCGGATTCCGGAATCCCTTACATGGGTTAGATCCTGGGAAGTTAAAACAGTCCATTCCAGTGTAAAGTTGGAAATGACTGTGGAATGAAAGAACTAAGATGCGTCTATTTGAAGTAAATATACCAGTCACAAACCTGTTAACAGGTCTGTATATTATCGTTTATTTTCAAATTTCGGGCGCCTTTCTCCTACCCTAGGTGCCAGAGACTTTTCAAGCTCAGTCACGGTTTCAGGCACGTCTTTATATTGTCTTTATAGCGAAAAACTTCGCCACTAGTGGCTTTGAAAGGCCAAGGACGTATCGGCCTACGCCGACCCGAAGCATCTCCGCCGCACTCAATCGCCGTACCCGAGAAAAATACCACCGGTAGCGGTATTTGTGAATAGTCTTCTTTAGGTCGGTTGAAGCAAACTTTATTTGAACGTGTCATTGGGGTTTGTATTCAAGGGTAATTTTTGATACGAGAAGGGACTATTCATATCATAATACCCGTCTGGATCTCAAAAAAAGCGATTGCTTGACATTTTACACTGTATGCTTCATTTTGCTTCATTTCTTTACCGCAGGGCTTGTATAGCAATTGCTATTTGTTTTATCCTTTCCTCATTTGCCATAGCCAGCAAGGCTGTATATACGTTAGCAGTAAACGGAACTCCTCGCAAGGTATTTTAATACACTGAGCCATTCCAAATCGTATCCAAAGTCCACAGGCTTACCGGTCAGGTCAGCGGAGAAACGCCAGGACAGACTTACGGCGATCATGAGCTGACCAAAGAGCTTGAGAACTTTGGGTATAAGATTAGGTCAAATATTCTTTTTTTTTTCATCCTGAGACGCTGACAAGCAATAGGGACGTGATACCAACAATAGAAAATATCCGTTCTTATCCCTAACTGCCAAGAGCTAGGATTGTTCAAAGAAATTAATTCTACGTAGAGATAAAGAAATGAAAATACACAACCGTACACATGCTTTCAGTCGAGGAAGCCCCTAAAACCGACAGTATTTTGGCCCTACTTTACTTTTACTTGAGGTGCGTATTCCACACACTAAAATGGCTCCCACAATGCAAAGCTAAAACACATATTTTAAATATACAGTGCAATGTAGGTGAAATTGAAGTGAGAGACTAAACCGCCCTTTGTATATAGGATAATGCCAGAGCCCCAAGGCCTTCTTAAAAATCATGACCGAGCGCGTAGCCCTAGGTTATTATTTTGTGCGTTGTCCGATTCAACGCACCTTTGCATTGTTTTAGAACCACTGAAGTGGAGTAGTGGGTTATTTTTAGTATCCTCTTTCATTTGTTGAAAATGACAACCTGCGAAACAAATGGTAAGGAGCTAAAGTTTGAATTCACTATTTTCACATAGACAATAATGCACTTTGTTTACCTCCCAAAATTTTGCGTAACCATTGTCTTTGATTTCTCTTCGGATGACTGTAATACCCCAGAGAAAACGGAAACAAAGGCTATGCAAAATTTGGGGCGGGGGGTAAGCAAGGTGCTTTATGGTCTATGTGAAAATGGTGAATAACAAATTTGACCGTAAGATGTTTCCTAATGTTTCAGCAATATTTGATGGAAATTCTCTCGATTGCAAGTCTTCTGTTTCTCATTTTCCTGGTTGGTGTCAAGTGCTTGATAGCCCACAAAGTCCACAGCAGAGCTATGAGAACTGATGGTAATAATAAATACTTGGCTAATTTAAAATATACTAAGGCCTGGTCAATGACAAAAGTTTAAAAAACTGTGGAAGCGTTTATTTTCTTGTTTACATACGTTTGATTACGTTAGAGGTATGTTGCGTATTTTCCCCAAACCTTCAAAGTCGGTTCATTTTGGCCGAGTGAAAAACACAAACGTTTTCTGGCACCAATCAGAAGCCAGAAAGGCGGCGACCGTTTGGAACTAGTCTGGTAAGACATTGTCCCCAGGGGCTCTTCTTGCCGTACTTTACTTTTCTTCGTGCGATATTTTTCCGCCCGTTTAGACTCGCCCCCACTATCTGCCCCTGGGTCTCCGAGGATGACGTCTGCTGAGAAACTTCACACTAAGTTGAGTCGCAGGTTGTAGGTGCACCTTGCTGGCTGGGAACTCTTCCATCAGTCTTGCTGGGAGTGAGGAAGAGATGAATTTTTCCCAGCAATCTCTGCTGCCCAAGATGCTTAAAATGACTTCAGAAAGCTTTATTCATGCTTTTTTGTTGTTGTTGTTAGGTCTTTTTCTCAACATTTCCCGTTGGGTGCCCCTGAACTTGTATAGTGACGTATTTGAGACTGATTCAAAACTTCTCGTATCTTAAAATAATTTTCCAATAGATAAGCTTATTGGTAAGTCCAACCAATACCCGAAAACTGGATCGAAACGCCACACAAAAACAAAACAAGTGTTAAAAGATGATCTAGAGAGGTGCATTGTTTACCAATTGAACAACATACTGTGAAAGACGACTCTTAAGATTTTTCATGGTAAAACCCACAACTGATCGATCACAAGAAAAAGGCTAACACCACAAAATGCCCCTTTCCTCTAAACTTCGAGCTGGCCATCAAGTTGGGGTTTCACGCCCGATTCGTTTAGTTTCACTTGCGCATGATCATGATGTCACTTGCAACCCGGCGCGTTTGCGGATCGCTGCTCTCGTCTGATCTCGCTCGCTCGCTAAGAGAGCCTGCTAGCAGGCTACCAGGCTACCCTTTCTCCCCCTACAACCATTAATCGTCTGTCTTTTTTTGTCTTTTACAGCGTTTAACTCCCTTGCCGGAGCAGCAATGACCCTTGGCATGATTGCAAGCGACGTTGTTTGTGAAAAGAACCATAAAATCTGCTACTTGGATTCGGCCACAGCAATTCTCATAGCCATTGCTCTTTTCTCTTATGGCATATTGTAAGTTGTAGACCGAAAACCTTTTAACAGCTAGTTCTACCAGAATTTCTATAGTCTGCAACATCATAAATCACAAGAAAGACACCATAAAATTTCCGAGTTTTATTGCTAAAGACGTCATTTCTGTGATTCACAAGAGAGTAGACAGTGGATTTTGTTTTAATTGATTCGTTCTCCACTATATATATCATTAAAAGTTATAAGAGCCATTAATTATTTATTAAAATATCCCACATGAAACAGTAGAAAGACAGCGCCATTTCTCTTTCTTGTAATAGGCTATGTTAGCAGTTCTAGCTAGTAATTTTCGAACAGGCTGCATATACTGGAGTGATTTTCATTCACGATGATTCGTCCCGTGTACATGCTATGCTCTGCTATTGTACATATTTACTGAATATATATGCATTGCATATCGTGTATTCTTGAACAAGAGGTGTTTTAGGGCTGTCTTATTTGAAGCTGAGGCTAATGGAGAATTTAAGTTATTTCCTTTGGACTAAGTACGCTTTTTTTGTTATAGGACTATTGCAGAGCTTACACAGAGTACTACAGGAAAGGAACAAAATGAGGAGTAAATTTACTGTGGAAAGTACTGAACGCGTTTGGTTTTCGTCTCCGAGATTTTCGTGCGTTTTTACAAAAGTTTCTTATTGAACAATTTTAATGGAATTGTATATAAAAGAAAGTTGAAATAAAGTAGACTATTTTTAAAAGAAATATCTTGTAATCGATGTGTCATCTTTCAGAGCCCACGCAAGGCAGTCCGTTGCGTGCAGGGCCCACTGATTAATAGTGAATTGGAAAGGGGTGTGGTAAAGGGGTGGGGGGTGTATTATAGGGGGGTGTATTATAGGGGGGGGTGTATTGTACTCAAGAATGCTACGAATAACAGTTTTCCTTTAGCAAAGAATCATATCATAGTCGAAAAAATGAATGCGTTGTGGTCTCTGCTTGTCGAGATTTTAGTGGTGTAACGATTAATCGAATTCTCGATTAATCGCGACTTATGACCTTTCGGTGGGATTCACGATTCTTTGCTTCCATGTTTCGATTTTGGTTCGAGTGTTGCACACCTTTTCCAGGGTGCCCTCAGTGAGTTATTATATTGTAAAATCAGAATCCAAAACTCTTTTAAATGTGCGTTTTTGATTGACAAGCAAATACGATAGCAGTTCGTGCGCCATTTTGTGTTGCCTGGTAAAAATGCTGTCCTTCAATCACCCCTTGAGAATTTCCAAATAAGGCAAACCTTGCGACAAGCTCTTTGTCAGTTTCCCAAAGATGACGACGAACCAAGCCACTGTGAATCCTCCTTTCAGTGTCATTCAAATTGAGGGTTTAAGGCTGCATGCTGTTAACATTACGCGTTATGTTATAAGAATTAAGAAACATTATAAATAATCGAATCGAAATAATCGAAATCGAATCGAATCGCAAGGAATATGAATCGTAACACCCCAAGCAGTCTCAAATTCTCATTGTTATTCTCTGCGAATAGCCCGACTCACCCCCTTCCTCCCCCCCTCCCCTCAGCGGAGTCATTTTTTTGCTAGGTCTTTGTTGAGCATGCGCTGTTTGTTGCTAAGATACAATTTGGAACCCAGGCTTCTGAATAGCCGTTCGGAAGCCGTGCACTTGGTACAGTAACCTCAGTTATGATGATCGGTTTATCAATAAACGGATGCTCTCGCTCGAAAAAACCAGTTTGAGGCGAGAACACAAGATAACTAGTCTAGAAGTTCGGGCTGCGGCTTGACGCGATTCGGGCAGAGCCTTATTTTCGATTTTTCTGTGGAGGGGAGGGGGGGGGGCGGGGGTAACCCAATTATATGAGCTCAGAAGCATTATGCTTCTGATAAGCTATATAGGTATGTGTTGCCCCATCGGGTGGGGTCGGGTAGGGTACACTTTGCCCATTTTGGTCTGGAATCACGTATGGTTTTTGAGGGAACTACGGGAGTGTATGGAAGTATATGATCGTTTCAATTCCAAAAAGAAAGAGAAGGAGAAATCTGCGAATTCGAAATGAATTTGAAGCATTTTTTTGTTTGCGCTCTAATCTAAGTAATGATAACATAATTTCTGCCTAAAGGGCAGGTCTGAAAAAGGGTATGGATTTTAGAGGTCTTGTCTAAAAACGGGTGTGGAAAATTACATTTTTTGGTCTGAAATAGGGTCAGGATTTGAAGAACCGGGCGGCACACCCCGACCAAGAATTCCCAGGAGTACCGCCCTGGCATTTTTCTGCTCCTCACACAAAAGGACTCCCGCGAGAAAAGGAGCCCGAATCCTTGTCAATCAGTCCATATGAGTTCTAGAGCGTCGTGGCTATCAAAAGTCACTTTTACATCGGAATAAGATAGCTTAACTAATAAAATCTCCTTGCTCTGTGTACTATTACTAATCTGTAAGCCGAAAAGAGAGTTATTTGTTTTCCACACCGACCACGTGTTGTGTATTTTTATAGTTATTCCTCTTGTAATTTCTGTATTGGCAGGCAATTTATATAAGTATGTTTATAACACTGAAAACATGAAAATTAAACCATTTTATCATGACCTTGGCGTTGGTCAGAAATCAACTGAAGAGAAGTGACACAAATTCTAAAAGCAACCTCTACCTACCTTATGCTTGATTACAGTATATGTCGTAAAGTAAACTCAAAACGCCAAGTTTTTTCCCCTCACATTTTGAATAATGCTTATCAGACAACTTGTCCGTGGAAGACTCAAGAGCAGCATTCTTCTTGAGACGAAAAATTATTCACTGTGTAGTATACTTTCGCGTCTTCCTTCGCAAACTAAATAATTGAGCATAAATGCCGGTCGGGTCTAAATTTGAATTTCACGGACGACCGAATGCATCCTCGTGATTCTTTCTTGTTTCTTGATTGGCTGTTTTGATGCACGGGCTGAAGAAGCGAAAAAACGTGAGGGAATGATTTGCAATTCAAAACAATTTACCATTTTCACAGCGACCGTAATACACCTCCACCGCCCCCTCCTCCTCCCCCCAAATTTTGAATAACCATAGTCCAATTTCTCTTGGGTATAACAGTCGTCCAAAGAGAAATCGAAGACAATGGTTATAACTAAGTGAATCATGGTCTATCTGAAAATGGTGAATAAAATTTTGTCATTTTAACATCCCAACTGCAAAAAAAAAGCAAACAAACACAACTGATTCTTAATTTTTATTTCAATAGCCGGTGTCTTCCTTATTAGCCATAGATATCGTCAGATATCGGATAATTGGGGAATTACAAGTCTTGTTTCGTTTTTAGTGTATCGCTTTTTACTGTGGCATGTGCCCCAAATTTTCCATAGGCTTTTTGTGAGACTTTCCAACAAATTCCTTAAGATTGACTGCCACCATTATACCCAGCTGATTAAAAATATGAACTCAATGATTAGATGAGGACGAGTGTGATATGAAGAATTATGTAGCACCGATCGGTTGGTTCTTTTTGTCTCAGATTCATCCCTGAGGTAGTAGTCTTTGATTGCTTGGTGGGAATAAAGTGTGTGAAATATTGCGAATTGTTCCCTTACTGTCAGTTGAGTGCACGCTCTCCTTTTCCGAGAGCTCACGCGCGACTTCTCCGGCCAAAAGTTGCCAAAGTGAGTCAGAGCCGTTTTTTTTTTTTTGATGTGGAAAAGCATTTCTCGCCTAAGATTACTTATACTTTACAATGCATCAAGAAGCGAAGGAACGCGTTTGTGAGAAAATGTATGAGCGAATGAATAAATAAATAGTAATAAAATGAGTAAAAGTAAAAACGATGACCCTTTGCTGAAATTTTCCTTTATTTATCAAATAAATTTCATTTTATAGCTATTACACTTTAAATTTGGTACATTTATACTATAGGTTTACAAAATTTCGTTAATTAACGTAATTTAACATAATACAATTGATCCATGTCATCACTAACTCGTATTCTTTACAGTATTGTGTTCCTTGTTGATTTTACTGCCTGATAACAAATACCTAGCGTTAGGCATATTTTTCAAAATGTCTCTAAAAAAGAATTTACCACAAATAATTCAAAAACCAGAGATAAAGATGCGGAAAAACTATGGTTCAGCGAAGAAAGAACAACGTACAAAAATCTGGGATATGATGATCCCACGCTTTGGAGTAAACTTCGTTAAATTATTAAAGACGCATTTGATGATCGTTGTGATGGCCTAGTTGTATACAGTGCACTCTGTTGAATAGTAACGAAACCATATTCAAAGGTGACTGCATAAAGATCACCGTATTACGAAGTCACACAATTCACTTTGAAGAGCAGAGCATACGAGTCACGCCACCTACAAGTCAAACTATGCTGTCTTCAAAGAAGTAATGGAAAAGTCATACAAGCTACCTTTCAAATAACTGCACAAGTTGTCAGTCACGATCACGGTTGTTGAGGTCATAAATGTAATGATTGGTGCCAATGATGTAATAAGGATTTGGTGCCAAATCTAATACGGGTACCAAATTTTATAAGAAATTGGTCGCAAATGTAATAACAGGTCACAAATGTAATAAGGATCGCTTTTGTAAGTTCTTGGTTACAAAAGTAACCTGCGAACACAGGAGGGGAAAGGATACGACTGGAACTACGTTTGTGTTCACAGGCTATCACAAATGCAAAAATGTCACAAATTTAAGAAGAGATGGACGCAATTGTTATTAATTTTGCAATCGCAACAAGGATCAGTTTCATCGAAACTTGATGACAAGTATAAAAGATAGAAAGTATACTATTGCTTAGACAAATGAACCTTCGCTTGAGGACGAGCAAATACCGGTTACATACCACGCGTCCTTGCGCAAATTAGCAAAGTTACGGATTGTTAAGTTGTTTAATTACAATTTCATGCGAAATTCCGGAACATTCAATGTTAGGTCAAAAGAATACTTTTTTGTTTGCCCAAAGCGGAAAATTTCCATACTATACCATGCAACAAACAAAGTGAACGTCCATATTACAAGTGGTTTGGTTTTACAAATATTACTAATAATAACCAAAGCTTAAAGAGTGCGGGCGACAACGATAAAGTCAAAACGCTTTCGCTCCATTGCTGTGCTTTGCGTAAGTTTCACGCGACAGATAGTCAAAACACGCGTGATCACATTACGAGTGACAGAGGGTCCAAACGTGCGTGATCAAATTGCTTTCTTTGCATGCCATTCATTCTTAATGGAAGTCCAAACGAATGCTGACTACATACATGCGACGCATGCGTAATAACAACCTGGGTTTAGGATTGCGGGCACCCCTTTGTCGCCCGCAATTAGAGAATGTGATGACTGATAAAAAACCTATCATAGCACCAATCCTACGTCTCAAGAAGTCAGTTCTTCCAACAAATGACCCACCCCTCCCCTGACAGATTACTATGTAACCTTTGTGACCCATTCCTTATCCCAGTGTTGTGATCCTTGTGATTACATTTGGCACCAATTCCGCATTACATCTGTTACCCTTTTTACACTTTGTACCAGTTAATACATGTGACGAACCTTATCCTAATGAACTCAATCTATTTTTCTGGTCCATTAGTACTGGGCTCGTCCTATATTTACTTCTCACTTAGGGCTAAATGATGGCTTCAGGGAGGGGTAGGTGGGCGGTTTCCCAGTGGCTGAAACAGTGAGTGGGCAAGATGAAGCGAATCCAGTGCGTTCTTAATGGCTACCCGAGCGGGTGACGTGGGCCCGCTCGGGATTTCCTGCGTTGGTCTCGCTGGAAAAAAATTCTTTATTTAGCCATAACAAAAATAAATTCGTCGTTGACCAAGCTTGTTCGGTCAAGATGGCTGTACGTTGTCCAAGTCCCTTTTCGCGCATTTATTGACCACGACTTCGTCTCGCTCCTCGGCCAATCTTCAGCCATATTGACCTCACGCTTGGTCAATAATGCATATATAATACAACAGTCCTACGCCGATGGCCGAGTAATTAGTAACTATTCAATAGTGGGAGTCTTATTTTTTATGATACCCTAATGATATTTTACAACTTTTTTTGTTAACTAATACTTCATATATCAACCTCTCCAGACTGTAGACACTGTAATTCTACGAGTCTTTTCATGTGGTGATGACAAGGAAGTTAGACATCGAAGATACCGCGTAATCATGACGAGCTTTAACTAAAACATAAAAATAATGATCCGACAGTTTGCAAGCTCACAGTTGACAATCAAATCGACAAACAACTGTGTTTTCAAATACAAACTTCCACAATAAAGACAAAGCTGAACGATTTTTTCAAAAAACTATACTACTACCTTAATCGCCTTAAAGCCATAACGAGTTGTAGTAAGAGTCTCTTATAATTCAATCAAACTTGCCAGCACCAATGGCTAGTTAATGTTGTAGACTCCCTTCTTTTTCATAAATCCCATTTTCTCAAGCTTTCCTTTATTTCCCTTTTGTTCTTTTTCGCGTTGCTTTCTAGCCTTGAGTTCCCGCTCCGTTTCCGCTTTCATTTCTTTGATCTTCTTCTTTATTACAGCTCGGTGGTTTTGGCTCACACCCATGGCCTGAAAAGTTTAAAAAAATCAAAACGGTGATCAACATTTACCCCCTATTTTATCCTCTCAAGTGATCAAATCGTGTAACAGAGGTTTCTGAGTCAGGGGCGTGGCTGGTACTTCTCTAGAGTAACGCACAGTCTTCCAAATCAACCTACCCTGGGTGTCAGAGACTTGACGTGCGCGGTTTCCGTTTTCGGCCAAGTCTTTATAGTGACCCGCGCAAAAGTTTTTTCCCGCGGGTTCCCCGCTAGTCGCTTCGGCTTTGAGGCCGAAGCATGTCGGCCTGGGGTTAAGTAAGAAAAAAAGCTTTCCTTTGAATATTTTCCCAAACGTTAAAAAAGGGTAAACACCAAGTCCTACCTTGAGCTTGGAGCCATCTAAATTTAATAACTGCTTGCCGTCGATATTTTTGTTGCTGAACTCTTCCGCGTACACTTCAAGGTCATTTGCCACCAGCCACATGTACACCTACAAGTACACAGCAGCACTTGTAAGCATTGATTTAAAACAAAGTAGCCTTATGCCCAACTGAACTCACACCAAAGCTTAGACATGTTTAAGAGCTATTTAATTAAACACGGTGTTTATTTGTCTCCTTCATAAAAGCGACCAAAAGATTGGCCGTAACAAAAGCATAAGTCAACGACATTTTTCTCAAAGTGTTTGTAAAAGCTAGTACTTTAGTTTTCTTTCACTGATTTTCTTTTCTTTAACCTGGTTAAAAAAAACTTTAAAAAACTGGTTTTGTTGGTGTGAAGAGGGCTTTATTCACACCTTAACTCCTTTAAGCCGTCTCCTGTACCCACGATTATTATGTTAAGAGGAGCACTGAAGGATGGTGTAGCGGTGAGAGCACTCGCCTCCCACCAATGTGGCCCAGGTTCGAATCCTGGAGTCGACGTCATTATGTGGGTTGAGTTTGTTGTTGGTTCTCTCCCTTGTTCCGAGAGGTTTTTCTCTGAGCACTCTGGTTTTCCCCTCCCCTAAAAAAACCAACATTTCCAAATTCCAATTCGATCTGGAACACACGGATTCGTTTCGACGCGTTGCTATGAACTCCTACAGTTGTAAGTATTCCGTGGGTATGCAAATTACAATAACGATACAAGACAGTGCCTGCACATAAATAGTACCCATTTAAACCCCAATTTCTACATACAAGTTAGTGTATAAAACCACATACAATTTCTGTAGAGTAGACTTATGTTCAAACCTTTAGTTAAATATTACGTTGAGAAAATCTGATGAAAAATTAGAAGTATTTTCCATTTGATGACCATTTTAACAATTCTCACACCCTTTTCTGTTGATTATTTATTATTTACTGTAGGGGAAAACTGATGTTGACAGCTCAAGGGAGTTGAAGGTAAACAAAATCTTTTGTTTGACTGACCCACCTGATCTGTGTCCCAGTCGGACACAAGTTGTGACACTTCAACTGACTGCCCATCAGGACTACTGATTGATGACTGTCCATCTGTATTCGACGCAACACCTGACCGGAGAGGAACAAGCAAATAACAATTTTTAAAAGCGGTACCTCAAGAGTCTAAATTAATGTTCTGCCAGTGTTTGTGCTGGTTTTTGGTTATAACATTTAAGGAGCGTTCAAGGAGTACTAAAGCACTAACAACTTAGTTTTTAGGGAGTGTTCAACGATGACAAGTTTTGCCGAATTTTTTTCCCAAAATCCCTCCTCCATATTCCAAAACATTTGCGCTCAATCTTCAACACACTTTGATAAAATACTTATAATTATTTCACATCCAAACCAAAATTCAAAGAGTCTCAAACTGCAGCTTATAAATTCTCCTACTTATAAGCCCCCCACCCAGTTATAGGCTCATATAGTTATAAGCCCCCCTGGAAACAAGCACCTCTCCAGCTTGCATTGACAATAATTCAATGTATCATATTGATGTACCATAACATCGTGAAGCTTAATTCAAAAACCAGTACAATTAATGTAAAAAGCAATCTGATCAGCACTGCTTTACAGTGTACCTTGTTTTGACATACCTTTTTTTCTTACGGTTATAAGCTCCCCCCAGATATAAGCCCCTCCAGTCCTAAGCCCTCCCAATACCCCTAAAAAGATGTATAAGCCCAGTTCTTATAAGCAGCTGTTTACAGTATTTAACTAACAAATCAAACAAGAAGAATAAAATGAAATACTAGCATGATTGACACTTACTTGGTGAGGCCCGCCCAGAACCAGCTTGACTGCTGGCAGCAAGAAGCTCAGGTGGACAATCAATAGCTGCTTCATTGTAAGGCTCTAAAACTGGAACACTCTTCACTTGTAACAAAGGCATTGCAGGAGGGAGGAATGGGGAAGAACCACGTGATGAACCATGTGATGAGGCTAGGTCTGAGTCAATCTGAGGATTGAGAGTACGTAATGTCAAAATGAATATAGCCCTAGCATCAGGCATTTATGGGGGAGGATCAAATCAGGTTTCTAGAAAACTGCCAACCTACCCCTCCCCTAAGACAACATTTTGCCCAACAATGTAAGTGATAACAAGTGATAATGTTGGTTCAGGGGAAGGGTAGGTGGGCAACTTCCCAAAAACCTAAACTGATCCAAAACCTCCTCTCCCCTTACCTATAAGGAAGGCCTGATACATACACTGAGCCACACTGCCTGCTCAATACAATAAAAACAATGGCTTCCTTACCCTTCTGGCAGCCTCTTCAATTTCATCCAAGGAGTTTGCAGACCCTGAAAAACATTCCTCATCTTCAACAGGTTGCTGCTCTGCTCTGTCCACCCTATCAAGTGCAGTAGTTGGCAGAGATGACACCTGGATATCTGCCTTGGAAAGCTGCTTCTCCAAAAGGTTCTCAACTACAATATTACGTGTCTCCTCCTTGTGAGAAAGAGGAAAGCTCGCTCGAGTTTCCTGCGGAGACGTGTCCCCACTCTTTGCAGGTGGTTCATCATAGAGATTTTTGCCTGTGGACCGAAGTTTGAAGCCTCCAGCTGGGAAGGTAGGAAGATAAAGCCCTGGTCCTGTTGGAGGGCTTCTATGGTTGTGTTCACTTTCTGCCAAACTTGTCTTTGAGGGGCTGTCTTCTTCATCATTATCTGAAGTCTCCTGAGTCGCAAAAATCTAAATTCACAATCAATAAGAATTCCATGTCTTACTGAAGCATTCATGGCTAAATATTAAATACTTCATCGCCAAACAAGTAAACTCCATTACTCATTCCTTTCTGACGCTATTAAGACACTTTACAATAGCTAGTATGGCTACTTTTCTGGTACACTGAACAGGCCCCGGTTGTTAATTGCTATCAATTGGATTATTACATGTATTAGGGAAATCGATGATTGGTTTCCCTAATAATGCTTGCTCAAAAGTTAAAAACATGGCAAAAAAACAATTAAACTACAGTGAAACCCTGCCTTACCGCCACCTCAAGTAATATGGTCACCTCGCTGTTACAGCCACTTTTTTGGCTGCCTGGCAAAACGGCCATACATTTTCATGTAAAAAAACCCTCATTAACAAGGTCACCAAGTAATATGGCCAAATTTTTTTTGGCCCATTGGTGACCGTATTAACGGGGTTCCACCGAATAAATCATCATAATTATAGCATGACTGACATACATCATCATCATCATCAAGTGATTTAGCCCAGCTGGCTCGGGTCGGCTTATGTTTTTTTCCCTGTGCCTCTGCAAGTCTCTTCTTCTCCATCAGATATTCATTGCCGAGTGTTTCTGTGGCTGGTATAATGTTTAGGTCTAATCCTTCATTTTTGTTGTCTTCTGTGGTTTCTGAAGTAAAGAAAAGAGAAGAAGAGGGGTTGAAAAAAAACTGATATGATGGCATGCAATGACTAGTTTTGCAGCATATTAATTTTGTGGAATACAATTTTACATCCACCAGGTCTTGGTTTACCATGTTTCGGGTGGTACAGAGCGTATTTGGAAATATGGTCCTCCTGGGGGTGCTGAAGACAATGGCCCAGGAATCTGATGTGACGGGCTTTAACTGATTGGGAGAGGGGGACTCTTCCCATTCTATTATAGAATTCCTCATTGCTAAAATGATCAGATGACAGAATAATGTCAATGATACACTGTACCTGTTTTAACTTTATCTGCCTCTGCGTCCCAGCTCAATTGGAAATTTGCAAGTGCTTGTTGTACTTCAGCTGCTAAACCATTCTCCACAACTTCCTCATTCACTTGCGATTTCCTCTCATCAGTGGGCGGTACGTTTTGTTCTTCATTTTTCTTTGCTTTTTTATCCTTGCTTGAAATTAATTGCACATTCCCTGAAGGAACATCCTTTCCCAAATGTTTAGAGCTAGATAATGACAATTCTGCCTGTTCTTGTTTGAATAATTTTGAGGTGGGTTTTGTTTCCTTCCCTGGTGTTGCTTGCTGTAGAATGTGAAGTTGACTTTCAAGTTCTTTGACCTTAAAATAATAACAAATCATGGTCCAAGTTAGTAAAGTCATAAAAGTTTCTCAAACTCAAAGAAAAGAAGGTGCAGATTAAAGTCTTTGTATGGATAGCAAAACTGCATCCAGTAAGCCTAAAAAAAACAACAAAGGAAACTACAAATGGTTTTTCAAGCTACACTGTAACGACAATGGAAAACTGTTGGGTGAATAATTCTTTTAAGGTTTTCATAAACAATCACCTTTTTCTCACTTTTATAAATAATTATTGATAATGACATTTTTCAATTTTTTCCCAATTCAAAATGCCCCAAGAGACTAATTAACAATTATTTCTTGAGCCTGAATGGGCTCTGAGTCAATAGGCTATTGACTCAGAGGCCATGAGAGGGCGAGAGGAATAATATTGTTTTAGTAAAATCCAACTAGTTGATAAAAAATATCCCCCAAAATCCTGCGCTTTTTGCTACTAGGGGGCTATAACATATAGCCTAGTAGTAGTTCAACCAATCAGAATGCACCATTGATAATAGACCACGAGTTGGATTTTACTAATGACAAATATCCAGATTCTCTAATACAGTGTATATTAATTATTAAATCCTTTTGTGTGTCCTTGAAAATTTACCATGATATTACTTTTTTTAAAGTCACCAAAAACAAAAACATGGTATCTACCAACCCTATCTTGAAGCAGTTTAATTTCCACGGCAGATCTCTCAGCAGCTGCAGCATTTGCTTGATCCCTTGAAAAACAAAATACATGTAGGGTCAGATTATAGTAATTATGGAGAAAAAACCTACTGCTCATGAATATACAAAATATTCATGAGCAAGATGCAAGCTCTGGAGGTACTTTCATTAATCATCAAGTTAGTTTTGAAAAGATAAATACAAGAATTCAGAATATTGAAACTGCAGAATGCAAAAATAAAGGGCAAAGAAGCTCATCTGCATGTAGTGAAAGTTACATCACTAACTGTGATGGCCTTCTTTTCATTGGTTTATTCAAGTTGTTTATGATCCATCCAAGAACCATCTAATTTCCCACAGTAAAGAGATTCAAGACCTGGGCCGAGTTGTTCGAAAGCTGATTAGCGCTTAACCTGGGGTTAAATTTAACCCAGGTTTCTTTTTCTTGTGTTCAAAAGCATTTTCTGGGATAATTCTCTCTGTTATTTTTAGAGCTTCCAATCATCAACTTGTAGACAAAAAGAATTGAAACTGAAATACTTTTTAAGCTTTCAAATCTGAATTCAAATCTCGCACTAACCCTAGGTTATCTTAACTCAGCTTTGGACAGCTCGGCCCTGATGATTAAAGTGCTACCTTTTTGTACACTGACGACTGAATCATTGATTATTACTGCTTTCAGGCCTAATTAGCCATTACAAAGTTTAAGGATCACAAACACACCTGTAAGTGTGGTAATTAATTAGTATTATTGTTGTTAGACAACAAACAGTTTGCTCTAAACTCACCTTTCCTCAAATTCCTTGAGTTTTCCCTTGGCAATCTGGTATTTTTTCTCCAGGATCAGGTATAATCCCTTACTTTCCTCCAACTGCCGTACCATGTCATCATTCTCTGCCTCAGAGAGTGCAAGGTCTGATTCTAATGAGCTCATCTTTTCCTTCATTTCAGCTAATGCCTTCTTCGTCTCTTCATTATCGTTACCAGATATCTAGAGTGAAGAAAAAAAACTTTTTTTCATTTAAATTTTAATAGATTATTATAATGGCTACAATAGTTCACATGCTCTGATTGGCTGCTAAGCAGGCAATATTTTCTTGTAACGACCAGGCGTTAGTAGCTAAGTGTGAAAATACTTAAATAAGAATGACCGAGACCAGGTTTTAGGAGCCCGTGAGACTGAGCACCCTACCCAAATAAATCCTTGTTTTCACCAAAAGAGCTGGACGCCACAACCTGGTTGAGGTCATTGTTGTCTAAGGTCTTCCGCTAAGGATCCAGGGCATAATTATACATTCTGTGTTAAACTTGACAATGGACATCCATGTTATGATCAATTGACAGCTGTCAACTAAGCATATCTGCTGACCAGTGTCAGAAGACTGTATTGTAGGCTCAACTGTACAACTCATTGGGGTGATGTGTCTTTTTAAAAGTTATCCGTGATTAGTTGGTGTTTTAAATTGATCGGGGGCTTAGGTCCAAAATTTCTCATTGTCAAATAAACTGTGTCCTGTGGTTTTGATCACATCACCAGGTTTGTTTTGGTGAACACAACCTTGAATGATCCCTTGTGTGCCGATGTTGAAACTAATAATTACTTCCAATGTTTATTATTGTATTCAGTTTAAGAATAGTGTCAAAAAGGCCAGATAATAAACTTGTTAACCTTGTCTGTGGCTAATAAGTGGTATTTCACTACCTTTCGATTAAGCGATTAAGAAAGCTACATGTAGATAAACCACTTAGCAATTACCACAGTTCCCTGATGCACTGGTGTATATGTTGTAGTTCAATTTGCACTTTGGTACAATTTGTGTTTGTGAAAGAAAGGACGCGGAAAATCACAAACCTACAGTAAACTAAATTGTTGAGACAAAAACCTATAAAATCACTCACATGTTTTGCCATAACATCATTTGACTGAGCTGAAAACATTTTTTCTGCAACTGCAAGTCTTTTCTCTGCTTCTTCTGCTTTGGCTTCAGCCTGTAATACAAATGAATAGTACATAAAATATTGGGTCCAAGCCAATGGATTTTCAAACCACACATTTTTTTCCTGAACAACTGCAGAGGTGCTGTAGATTGCTGCAAAATTAGGGACTGGTCATTAATTGCCTGTGAGGGAGGGCCGCCCATTTTGAGAAAGTTTAGAAGAATTTCAAACTGACCACCACTTCATCCTAGCTTTTTAAAAATGACCCCACATAAATTTTACACATTGTGAAAGTGACCACACCCCCACCCAACTCAACTGCTGTGGAAACTAATGTATGAATATTCTAGCTACAAATCGTGTCGAAGATTACCACATACTTTATCTACAGTTGTGTTTATAAGTCTGGTGTTGACTTTTCAAAGCTGTTACATTCAATTTCAATTCACATTTGTTTAACTGCTTTGTACTACTTTCATGAAATTAATTAAAGTGACCTCCCAGGTAACACTCCCTTATCTGAAAATGACCCCCCCCCTGCAAAAGTGCTGCCCTCCCACCCTCCAAACACACACACAGGTAATAAACATCCAGCCCCTTAAAAGATGATTATTATTACCAACATGGCCAACTATTGGCAAGGTAAATTCTCATGGCATTTGTGCATTTGTTCTCTGTACCAACCTGGGCTAGTTTTTGCCGAAGTACTTCAAGTTGCTGTTCATTGTTAGAGTCAATTCTGTGCAAATTGTGTAGGTGAGCTCTACTCTTGTCTCTTCCCATAAGAAATCTGAGGATTAACACGTTATATTCAAAAATGATTACAAGACAAGTGTACATGTTACAATGTACATGTGCAGTAAATAGTGTGAAAATAATTTGGTTTCTTTGGACCCAAGTAGGATGACTGAAAAACACAAGTACAGTATCTGTACTGCATACATGTAGGTGCATGAAACGCCCAGTTTCACTACTGTACAGTTGCACCTCCATAATATTATCCAGACCTTAGTCCCAGAGTTTTTCACAAGCCTTGATCTAAAATTTATGTATAATCATGTCCACAACACTTGGATGCAGATTCAATGTAAGTAGCCTTTTTCTTAACTTTAAAACATGCTTTAAAACAGTTTTAGCAGGAATTGCATGCACTTTATTGACAAAGTGGAATTAGCTGAAAACAGACTTATTGACTACACTGTATGCTGTGCTTCTGAGCAGATTTCTAAATAATTAAAAAAATTATTGTAATGATACAAATGCCAAATGATTAATTTATAGACTTTATTCTCACACAGAATATTTACATCAGCTCCTTTGCTTCCAAGAGAGACTAAGATGAATGGAGTACCAAATATGGCAGCAAATTTGAACATTTCAAAAAATTTTAAAAGAGATCGATTGTGATCAAATTGCAATTTTTTCAGAGATTCTGTTACTGATAGTAAATAATTTATTTGTATTTTAATTTAAGAAAAAAATTTTAAGACAATAGGCAATTACATTTACATTATGTGTAATATTAATCATCATTTAAATGACTATGTAACACTAATCAGAAGAAAGAAAAAAACTATTAATTGCTTTTGTTGTTTACCTCACCACCCCGCTGGTGTTCTTTAGCGTCTGTGCAGCAAATATCTGTGTTACTCCGACAAGAGAAATTCCGTCAACTTCAATTATTTGATCATTCACTTGTATTCTAAAAGGAAAGAATTTGAAGACTGCACATAACACACATTGCATAAAAAAGGATTGTGTACAGAGTGTCTGGGATAACAATGTTAACGACGATAACAATGATAACAGTGTTGTGTGGTAAAATAAATAATTACCGTAAAAACTCGTGTATAAGCCGCACTCGTGTATAAGCCGCACCCCCAACTTTCAAGCATGATTTTGAAAAAAAAAAAAACCAAAAATGCGCTTTTGTAAAAAAGGTGATCGTTTGTTCGCGCATCAAAATGTTCACAAATAAACTTGAGGAAATTTAATGTTGTGTATTTGCAGTGACATTTTAAATAAGTTAATCAACTCTGAAAATACCTTTTAAAAGGTTCTCTTTAATCAATTTCCCCATTTCCTGCGAAAGACAACAGTTCTCTTCATTGCTAAAGCCCACAGTTGAAATGAAAATGGAACGATGGAACGAAAATAAAGCGCTGGAGAATGCTACAAAACGATTGCTTAGTAACCTAGCGTTTATTTGACGAGGGAAGTCTGGACACCAGAGAAGGACACAAGTAAACAAATGCTGGACTTGTGAAGACTGTATTTTACAAAACTGAATAATATATTTACAAGTAACAGGTACAGATATCTTGATATTAGAAAACGAAATTCCTTGTTTAAGCAAAAAACTATTTACATTGAACAATGTTTGAAAGTACGGCTCATCAATCGTTGTTCAAAGCGAAATCTTGTACAACGCGGTTCGGTATCATTTTCACGAGAAAAGCAAAAACTAAAGTTCATTCTATCGACCAGTGTTCAATGTTCAACAACTGTTGTAGTTGCTTAGAAACCATAAAAGTCCTCGCCATCGCTTTCACCAAAAATGTTCTCAAAGCATTCAGGGTCAGTTTCTGCAAGTTGTCATTCAAAGTTCGAAGTTTACTCCCTTTGAGAGCAATGGTCTCGTGTATAAGCCGCACCCGCGATTTTTGACTCAAAATTTCGGCAAAAAGGTGCGGCTTATACACGAGTTTTTACGGTATTGTACTCTTAAGGAACCTACATACTTATTGTTATCTAATATTTCATGTAATATCTACCTACATGTACACTTGCCCTTTTTTCACCAAAACTGGTTTCAAAATTCAATTAATGTGCATACCGTAAACTTCCGCTTATGAATGGGAGGGAGAGGAGGTGCTGATCAAAATACCTCTTGAATTTATTCCCTTTTTAAGCTTCCAAGATTCATCATAAAAAATCAAATTTATCTGTGTTTTTGGTTACATGTACCCCTAGATGGGCCTATAACTTGGGGGCTTATTAGTGGGGGGGGGGGGGGGGGGGGGGGGGCATAAAAGTGGATATTTACAGCATTATATACATTGTTTCTTGATATTCATATGCCATACTGTGTACAGTGCTGTTATCTGACTATAAACCACGAACCTTTACATCAAGAGTTGTCTAAACTTGAACAAGACATTCAGCTGTCAGCCAATCCTAAGTTAAAAACTTCTTTGGTTCCAGACTTACATGACAGGAAAAGATTATCAAGATTATGGCGAAAAATTTACTGATCACAGAACATGCTACCATTTTTATTGCTCCCAAATGCAGTAACACTTTCAGGTGTGCAGGTGATTTAATCATGTTACATGAATTAAAGCATGTACATGTAACAACTCTGAGTAAAGTATAAATAATTCATTTTTTAAATAATCTTATTGGAAAGCAACAATTGAGAGTCATTACCTTCCATCAGCAGCAGCAGCTCCGCCCTCCGTCAGTGACTTGACGAATATGCCCAGTTTTTCCACCCCTGTATCAGTGCCAACACCAAGACCTATAATGCTTAAACCTAGCCCTCTCTCACCTGCAAATAAAACAGACATGCTTACATTTTTATTTTGGGTCCTTGCAAGAATGGAAGTCAAAATTGTCTTTAAGCACACTAAACAGTATTCTACACTGCTTTCAAGGAAACATGAAAGTACATGTAACCCAGGAATTTTATTTTACTCGGAGTAAAACAGTCATACACAGAGAAACCAACCTCTGGAGATCTAAAATTTAGAGAATGTCTCTTTTGCATTTGATACCAATCATCCAGCCCCTAAATCATAACATGGTCGAGTGGCTAAGGACATTACCGGTATACAAAGTCTTACATGAAGTAATGATAATCAAAACTTGCTTTTACCCACAACTTTCACAGTGCCCATAGTGCAGACATGTACACCTTTCTTACTTCCCAAAAATTGTTTTCAATTTCTTGTGGGCTTCAAGAGATATTGAAAGTAATGCTCATGCAAAATTTTGGGAAGTAAACAAGCTGTACTATGGAATGCTGCGATCGAAAAAAATTGAAGGAAGCCCAGTGCTCTGAACCTGTGAAATCTAGGGTGGCCAGCATAGGATTTCTACAAAAAAAATCTAAGATTTTCTAGTTGCCCAAGAGCAAAAGGTAGACACCAAGGCCCAATGGGCAGTTTAAGAGCACAGCCTTGTTATGGGTGATGTGAAAGTGAAAAAAATGACTCTAATGACAAAAAAGTCTTTGTAAGTGATGGAAGGCATGCAAAACCCTAGACATTAAATTTTATGTACATGTATTAGGGGGGAAATGGGCTACACTCCAAACTAGGATGTAGAAAACCTCAAAAGTCATCTGATATGTACATTTGTACATTACCTTACCTTTTTCCAAGTCGACAGAAAAAACATCCATCTTTTCAACCCGTTTTTCAAGTTCCCATTCAGCTGACGCTGTTACAGGATCAATGTCATCATTACCTCTTTCATATTCCTCTGCGCTGTATGTTGGAAATGCTTTAGGCAGTTCAATTGCAAATCCAACACTTCTTTTTTGTGTTTTAATGTCTTTGTCTTTGCCCTTAGCTAATGCAGATGACAGCGGCTTTGCTGAAAATAAAAGTGACACTGGAGATTCGTTCTGCTCATCCTCCACATCGCTATGCTCAACAACGCTACCAGCACTTTCATCCTCAGAGCTTTCACTTTCTTCTTTGTGCGACTTCACATCTTCAGTTTTAGACGTGAGGTGCTTACTTTCCTCAGACAAATGAGACCCTTTGTTTTCACTTTCCAGTGCAATTGAGTCCCGAACTTTTGGAAAACTGAGGCTGGATGATGAGTTCATCTGTGCCAGTTCCTCGGGTGGAATTTCTTCATCCTTCCAGGTGGCTTCTCGCACCCTACCAGGAGTCTCATCAAAGAAGTCATCTTTTGGAACTTCTTTTCGGCGAAATCTCTGGCCAACCTGCCCATGATCTTGAGAAGTTGGAGCACTAACATCTTTAACATCAGACTTGTCTTCCTGCTCAGTCTTTTCAGCCTTAGTAGACACCAACTTTGCCTCTTGCTCTTGCTTTGGCGATGTAATAGAGACATCAGTTTTAGCAGTTTCTTTGTCCTTCTCATTAACACTACCAGGTATCACTATTGAGTCAGGCAAGATACGATCCACACTATGAGATTTATAGAGATACTTACTACCATGCGCTCCTGGTCTCCTTAAAACAGAGTCATCATGGGACTGTTTTCGATAATCTCCATTGCCAGCTTTAGAATCAGATGAAAAGCGACCACGACTGCGTATAATGTACATAGGTCGCTTAGTTCCTGGGTCAGACCTTGTGCGAGATCTTGGCGAGGGTGATGGGTCACTTTTTCGCAGGGAGCTGAGGTCCAGCTCCTTTAAATCTGGGACTAAATCTATCAGGCTTGGGGATCGTTTTTCCCTGGGCTGGACATCTTCACTCGAACCACCACTTTCAAAAACCGCCCTTCTCGCAGCAATACCCTGAGATACATGAGGCTTATGCGATGGATCAGAAGGTGTAGTGGGCAACGTCTTCTTGTAGTAACTAGGCAACGACCATCTTCCTGGAACAGCTGACAGAGCAATTTCTGAAGAACCACTTTCTGCTTTCACTCTGTCAAATGCCTCTGAAACAGGCCTTGGTTTCTTGTAGTTCTGGCGTGCTTTAATTGTCTCGTTCGCAATTGTCTCATCAAAAATATGTTTCAACTTGCTCACATTGGGCTTCCCTTCATCTTCAACTCCGTTCTTGTTTTTATCTTCCACGGCAGGCCGTCCTTCACTGCCGGGTTTTCGCGGCACGCGGGGTTTCTCCTCCCGAGTTTTACGAGCAACATTGTCGTTTTTTAGAGGTGCAATGAAAGCTTTATCGGACGATATAATTTTCTTTGGAGGAGCACCAAACTTGTTGTACGCCCGGTGTTTGTGCTCATTCTCTGGACTGGCTGCATTACGCTTTGTTTTTGTGTCAATAATGTTCTTGTTGCGAGTCACCCCGGATGAGCTTTGACTCTTCACGGTATCATTGTTCTCACCTTTTGAGGCATTGGCCAAATCTCTGCGAGCTCGGTATCTGTTTTCTTTGCCGTGTTCAGTCCTTGTTGCCATCTACTAAGACGTTTCCGGAATTTTTCTTCCCGTATTTACCAGAAACCCTTGGATTTGTGTCGCCTGCTAATTCTTTAGCCAAGCACGTCGCAGCATGTTCACACAGAATGTTCACTTCAAATGGCGATTAAACAATGGTTTGAACAAGACCTGTGTGCAAAGCCCTGTTTCTCCTAAAATCTTCGGAATTTCAAAGGAAACTTGAAGCAATATTCGTCCTTTTGGATTTCACGCCATTAGAAGTCCCATACCACAGAAATGGCCGCCATATTAGCTCCCGACAACTTTAGAGTAATCTGTACTTTTAGCTCTGACAGGCGATGAAAATACCATTTAAAACCCACGACTGCAGTTCCGAAATGAGCAAACTTGCGCTAAAACAGCATCAAAATGCCGCGACTAAAAAATCACAGCCTCTTACAGGAAGCGAATTGCTCCTCGTAAACGATAGAAGTATTCGTCTGTGACAAGTAGATCACGTGACAAAGATAAATATAGTGCGGAGTTTCCGATCAGGTTCAAAGATACAGGAGGGTTTCGGTTCGTAAACTGAATTTTGATTGTATAAAATTCGCAGAGGAAAATATTTGCGCCATCCTTGGTTAATAGCCAAGAACAATTGAGAATAAATAAACAAAGTAGACATATTTATGAAGAGCTGTTTGGGGAAGCGTGTAATACTTTCAATCAAATTAGCATATGAACATATGATCACCAAATCACTTTGTCCTGAAAAATTCAACAACAAATGCTAATTGACCGAAACAAAGTGAGTCCAAAGCACCAAGAACAATGCATTATAAACTTCCTCGTTGCATTTTTCTTTTAACATTCTTCAAAGGATCCGGTTAGGGAATTTATGGGAACAAGCAAAAAACAAAGGTTAAGAAAGAGTTTGGAATATTGTTTGCAAACATGTCGAAGCGATTAACAAAGGATTAGCCGCTGCGATTTGCATAAGTGATCTTCGCTCTGGAAGTTTCACTGAAATCAAAACAGGTGCCGAGAGATAATATACGAGGAAATAAAACAATTTTTACATTAATTAATATTTAATGTTTGTCGAGATAGTTTTATCTTCTCGCCATACAAATGTAAGAACTTTGAAATGATTCAATGTGATCTGGTCTAATACCAGAGAAAAACAACTTTTAGAACTTTAATTTCTTATTGCAATTCATTCTTCTCAAGAGTTTACACAAGAGTTCAAAGTGCGCATAAACTAGCACAAAAATTTGAAAATACAGTCACACACATCACATCTTCTAGCTACGGAAGGGGAGGTGACGCAAAGCAACGAAATAGAAAAGAAGAAAAAAAATCACTTTTTTGCTAAAGCTCCTTATGTACTAATATCCCAAATTATGCGGTACCCCTCATTAATAAGAACAAAAGTTTCCAGTCAGGTTTCTTTTCAGTGTTAACAACTATTGAACTTTTATTTCCCGGTGTCCCCCCCCCCCCCCCCGCTCCCTCCCGGGTGGGGCCAAACCGCCCCTATAGTTTATTATCTATTTACTTATTTATCGAATAGGTCTGTTGCTCAATACTAAGCATTTTAGACTTCTCTAAAAAATGACAACAATATAGCAAAAACGATAGCAACAACAATAACAATAAACACCGAATAATAAAATGCCAATGGATGTTGTGGTACGTGTCATGATGTAACTACTGCTATTCGCGGTAGTAACTTGTTATGTATACTGTGACGAATAGCTTAACATAGAACATTGTAATTCTAAATTATTTGGAAACAGTCACGGTACCAGCTGGTATAAGACGCCAAATAAAATGTTGCCTTGTCTTATCTTGTATTCACGGAGTTAAAAATTGCGTTTTTAAATGCAGCTAGCGAACTGGACAATTAGTACAATTTCTCTTAGGAGTTTGTTCCATTCTGAAATTGTTCGTGGATAGAAAAAATAATCCCTTATGGCTATCGGCTGCTTGTAAGCATACTCACAATTGACATGCTGGTTTGGAGTTAATATCTTCGTAGAGGACTAGCCTATTTTTCGCTTTTTATACAGCATTGATAAACGTGCTATGGTTGGCCTACTTTCAAGTGGCCTCTATTTCAGGGCTAAAATCATTGCAGTGACACTATCCCTCCGCTCGAAGCGATTTAAGAACAGTATATGGATCCCATACGGTCTAAAGGTGTCGTTACATGAGACGATTTTTAGCGAAACACTGCTTTGCAACATTGTTGCGACATTGTTTCGAACAGTTCCAACATTGTTCCAACATTGCAACGCTGTACAAGAGTTGGGCGTACCAAGGCCAGTTTAGGCCGTTTCATTGGTCCTTGGTTGGCAACGTGTTAGGGTCCGTTTGAGAAACCCTGAAGTGTTGTTGGCTTTATTCTGATCATGTTCATTCTAGTGAAGTTCGTCGGACAAGGTAGAGCCGGCTGTATCCATTAATCTTGTAGTCGTAGACATTATCTTTTTCAGCATTAGACTTCATTTTTCAATCTGATTCTCATTTTTTCAGGTTGAGCCGATCTTGCTTAATAATTGAATGCAATCAACAGAGGACTTCACGGCCCAATAAATCCCAGTGGCATCTGCGAATAGACAGGCTTAATGTTCCACATACAGCTGGGTGAGGTCATTTGTAAAGGCTAGGAATAAAATAGCCGACCTACAACGGAATCCTGTGGGAATCCTCATGATCCTGGAATGTCAAATTATGACTTCACTTTTGCTGACATAAATTTTAAACCTTTGAATCTCCCATTTTTATAGAGAAAAAATTTCCACCATCTCTATTATAAGCTGAGATATGACATTTTGAATTTTGGACTTAAAAGGGAGACCCCTAGCCTGCGAACCGCAGACGCATTTCCGGTCGTCGCTTCTCTCCCTCCGAAAAATAGCTATTTTTCGGAGGGAGAGAAGCGACGACCGGAAATGCGTCTGCGGTTCGCAGGCTAGGAGACCCCCTTGTAAAATAAATCTTGATTGAAGTGTTTTGTTGTCGCGAAGCCATTGCTATTTAAGTTACACATAACATATCCTAACTACTATCGAAACCAAGAAGAAAAACCGGAGAAATTTTAAAAAAGAAATTCCTAACTGCGCAAAAACCAGAAAAACAGTTTTCTGATGTCATAAACTGTCATTTCATCATTTTTTGTTTTGCTGAAATTAGCGTTTTTAAGCACAAAAAATTATACAAAAAAAGGTGTGTGTTACTGAAAAATCAGCTTAGTTTGCAAAAAAATAAAATAAAATCATAAAAATTGTTTCGTTTTGTTTTGTTTTTGTTTTTGTTTTTTTTTTTTAAGGAAAAGTATGGCTCCTGGGGTTGCATTTAAATTTCTTTGAGCTCCTATGACTCCGGCTTAACGTGTCGGATCAATTTAGGTTTCTGGGAAAATGCCCACCTACCCCTCCCCTAAGCCACCATTTTTCCCTAAGTGAGAAGTAAATGTTAATGTTAGCTTAGGGGAGGGGTAGGTGGGCAGTTTCCCAGAAACCTAAATCTAACGTGCATGTCTTAGCGAGAAAAGATTTTTTCAGTGCTCTTTCGGATAATACACATTCTTTTCCCCACTCCGCAGAGCCCACCGTTTCTTTTGGTCACGTCCGTTACAAATTAAGCTTTGGGGGTGAGAATCGATAAAGATGACTTTGAAATTAAAAAATAATATATATTAACCCTCTTTGGTGACTTCCGTCCTTGCTCAGGGACTTGCTACAAGTCGAGTTCTCCAGCTGCTTCTCATAAGTTTTTAAAAGTGCTTCAGAGCATGAGGTCACGCAGCGACAGAGAGTCGACTAGTTTCGCCTGAATGGATTAAATGGAATGGCTATGAAACCCGTTAGACTCCTTTGTTATATGTTTTTGTTAGCTTTTTTGTACCTGACCGTGCACAACGTTCAATAGCATTACTATCATTTTGAACTTACTGACCAATAGAAACATCGCATTAATTTCTTCAGTTTCGAATTGTGAACTAAAAACAAAAGATTGTGCACGGTCAGGGAGCTTCCAGCATAAACTACCGCACCATTGTTTTCAATTTTGATGTTTGCCGGTTTTTCCAACAAGTCCCCTCTACTAACTACTATGAATTTGAATCATATTATAAATTCACTCGGGAAAAAAAAAATTGATTAACATATGCTGTGTCGGGAGCGGCGTGAAATATCACTCACTGTCCTATTGGTCAATTGTCATGACGTCACCGGTAGAATTTTCGACCAATGAACTTCGGGCCAAACAGGTATGAAAAGTCTTTAAAATGGTATAACCAACCAGAAAAAATAATAATAAAGCTTTTAGAAAGTCTACGTCCTCGCCTGCGTCACAAACGTAATTTAACCTTGGTTAGGAACGGGTCATTATTTATCGCCTGGAGGTGGGGGGTGGGCGCAGAGGATTTTAGGGGGGATCACTTGCTTTTTGGGAAAAAAAGGGGGGGATCGCTGAAAACTTTGGAAGGATTCAGAGGGGGGGGCCACTCAAATTTGCTTGGAAAATGAAGACATGGGGTGGGGGGGATCCGGACGTCATCAAAGTAACATTCAATGGTGGGATCGGTTAAATTTCACCTTGTTTAGCCCCAAATCCTCCACCCTTCCGTTCCCCCATCCCCCCAGGCGACAAATAATGGACGGTCCCTTAGAAACGGCTGCGAAGCAGCGCCTATATCCTTGTTGTGGGCCCCCAACGGACTCAACGAATTACCGGAAGGGTCTTTCGACCTGATTGGCAAATGGACAATGCCTATTTTAACACGACAATCATGGTGCGTACTCAAATCCTGGCACACATTTGGGGGCCCAGAACATGGATTTCTGCGCTGTTTCGCAGACGGACTTAACCAGCTTTAGTTTCGTCTGAGGCGCAGGCAGGACAGGCTACGTCCGTTTTTATGACGCTATAATTTGACATTTTAATTTGCGTGAAGCGAACTTGAAATTATTTGGTTAATAATCGTGGTCTATCTGGAAAGTCTGGTCAAGAGATGAAAAGAAATTTAAAGGAGACGAAAATTAAGCCTCAATGACACCTTTGAGGGGTGTTTTTACCCCACCGAGTGACAAGGCCCTCCCCACATTGGCGGTCACCCTCCCCACAAAACCTGGTCACGTGTGATGTTTCCCGGAATTTACGGTCAAACAAATCACGTGACTTACCAACATAATATTCATACTTCGAGCCAGTCCCATCCTCTTTAATTTCAGCTGACATTGTAGCCAGAGTCATTTATCCAAAGGAAAAACCCATGCCCTTAGACTAGAAATCCTATTTTACATCATAGCTGTTCATGCGAACAATAAAATCGAATATATAATTTGTGTAAATTTTGCATGAAGTAATTACACCTAGTGTGATCACTGGAAGTGTTAGGAAGGTTTTTTTTACCTCTTTTTTTTTCCTTCCTGCACCCGGCCCATGGCCCAATGTTGTGAGCAAAACGTTAATGTTTGTGCGCGTAATCAGTTCTGTCATATCCCAACATTGAATAGCGGGGGACCGGGGATGTTTAGAACAGAGAGAAAACTCTCTTTTTTGAGGATTAAAATGGACTATCGCTAAGTTGTACAACCTTCCCAACTACGTTTGTCTGGGATTGTAGCTTAGAACCAGGCTCCTTGATAGGTCTGCTAGTGAAAAAGGGAAAAATTGGCGAGCAAAGTGAGTCGAGTGCGTGAGGACTATCGCAGAAGGAAAAGGCCGCGGGAGAGTTCACTCGCCTCTCCACTATGCTATTTTTTTCCCTCGTCATCTCATCGCAATTTTTAGCCCCTTTCCTCCAAAAAGAAAGCCTTCCACAGGCTACGCTATTTAACAAGAGTGATCGCAGGATCATGGCTGAATATACGCAATATCAGAGGGACGGTAGTGATCCTGGCTAAGATTAATAGTTGTAGGGTCGCGAGTTCTTCTCAAACCTGGAGTTCGAAATTTTCTCCGAGCATTCTGTTGTTAGATTTGTCCTTCTTCTTCCAACATAACAGTGTACTTTTCGAACTTTTCATTATCTTGCTTATGGATGGGCCGAGATAATAAACTGAATAGGGAGATCACTTTTCATATAATAGCACGATGAAGTTGCTCTTTGCGAGATCGCATGATATCTGTTTAGCTGCTCCTGGTGACAGCTCGCTTTGTGCGCGCGCTTTATTGATCGACAACAGGGGGGGGCCCACGACTCCAATAGCGCGCGGTACTTGTTTCGTGTACCTATGATCCACCGATTTATGACATCACATCCGGTTGCAGAGTTGCTGCTCTGTTTTCGCGCGAAGCACCAAGATGGACGCCCGATGCCATTTGGTTTTCTCGTTATTTTAACCCACAGGCTAACGGAATTATGTATCTTGAATGCCGAGAATCTTGAGAAGGTATCTAGCCGGCCTTTCAAGCAAATTTCATGACCAAACAAAGAAGTTTTAGTATTATTTTAACGATAAATATCATGGAGCTGCGGGGAATGTCATGGCGAGTCTTGAGATGTTTTAAAACGAGTGTCGTTAACGTTTTGCGGCTTTTGCGGCCTCTGATTTAGAGAAGGCATCAAACAAAATATAATTTCCTGAGGGGAAAAGAATGGAAAAAACGTCGATGGCCACAGTTTAAAGTGTTCACCGCTGGAAGGCTGTATCACGCCCCGTAAAGTTGCAAAAACTTCTACTCAACTGCATGGTTTTGAGGGATGTCATGGCGAGTCTTTTGCTCTTTGTAATCGAGCGTCACTCAAGAGTTTGGCTGTTGCGGCTTCTGGTTCATCGAAGTCATCAATCAAAATTGCCTATCCTGAGCGGAATGGATTGGGCAAAACGCCGGTGGTCATAGTTTAAAGTTTCAACTGCTTGAAGGCGTTATCACTGGACGTAAAGTTGCTGAAAGCTCTACCCAACTGTCCTGTCATGGCGAGTCTTTCGCTGTTTCAAAACGAGTGTCCGCTCAAAGGGTTGGCTGTGGTAGCTTCTGATTTACCGAGATTGTCAAACAAAATAGCCTATCCTGAGTGGAATAGAATGGAGAAAAAGCTGGTGGTCACAGTTTAAAGTGTTGATTGCTGGAAGGCCTTATCACTCGTCGTAAAGTTGCTCAAAGCTCTTCTCGACTGTACGGTTTGAGCAATGTAATGGTGAGTCTTTCTCTATGTCCAATCGAGCGTCACTCAAGATTTTAGCTTTTGCATCTTCTGATTCACCGAAGTCATCAATCAAAATACCCTATCCTGAGCGAAGTACCGTGGAGAAAAAGCCTATGGTCACAGTTACAGTGTTAACAGCTGGAAGGCTTTGCCAGTTGACGTAAAGTTGCTGAAAGCTCTACTCAACTGATTTCGAAACGGTCACATGTTGCGAGCTTCTGGAAGGTTAGTGTTGGATTTTTAGCATTTAAAGATTTTTTAGCCTTTGAAGATTTATGTTTAGAACAAGAGTTAAGCCCAAACGTAGTCCAATTTGTCATTATCTGAGAGAAATCAAGAAAGTTTGTGCCCTTCCTTTTTTTCTAAGCTTGCAAGTGTAACATACATGAAAAGAAACCCTTATGCACTACTAGTCATATTGTTAAAATGACTAGTTTGAAATTACTCCTTATCTTAACTGATAACTACAACACTTATTTAAAAATGAATCGTTCCCGAACATGTGTTGGTTGGTTCTTGACCTTTAAAGCTAAAAAAACAAACATACTACGACTTACAGTGCTTATGGTTATGTAACTAATTAGTAAAGTGAAAAATAGTGAAATTTATAGAGTGAAAAAACAAACTGCTGGTTTAACTGTTTTAGAGGTTTGAAGATCTAGAGGGATCACTAGAGGTGTAATATGAGACTCAATAAGAGGTCTAGTTACTTTAGAACATGTTAGAAGAAATGTATACGTTTTTCCTGCAGCAAAACACATATTTTGGCTTGGTAATTATTACTTGTATTTCTTGATTTAAATTGCATTTTATGAATTATTAATAAGTTTCAGTTAGGGTCATTCATAATGCTGTACTGCACCTTATTTTAGTTGACGATTATCTAAGGTATAAAAAATGAATTTTGTGTATTTTTAAAGACTTGAATTACTTACTCCTGAATTTATAAACAATATATATTTAAAACCTACACTGTAAGTCTGGTTGTCAGTGTAGCCTGTGTTGCAGACATAATCTATTGCCAGTTAGTAACATCTGCAAAGCCGTGCCAATATTCTGGGCTCCCAATCCCAATGTGTTTCGATATTCCCTTCAATAATGGTATTTTTAACAGGCCAATCATAGCACATATGCAAGTGCTCGTTTACAGGTGGGCCAGGGGGTGGCCACAACCAGGATTTCAGTGCTGTCTCACAGGGGGACTTAACCAGAAGTTTAGTTCTGTTTGTGGCACAGGCTAGTCCTCTGGGCATTAATGTTTAAATTATGTATTTTATTTTGCTTAGCTGGGAAGACAAAAATAGATGACAGAAGAGCACAAACAAGAGAATATCAAGAAGTATTAAAAAGTATATCTACCACACAACTCATAAAGAGAGATAAAAGTCAATGAGGACAAAAATGTTGTTAATAAATGTTGAGTACAACTCACTGTCAAATATTAAAGTTGAAAGGAAGGAAGAATGCTGACATTTCAGGGAGTACACTTTTCTGGTTTACAGAAAATCTGCAGCAACAGAAGACACTGAAATCATGTTGAGCTGGTTTACAACTCCATCTTTCAGACCTGCAATTTATTTAAGGCTGTCTTATAAAGGAACAACAAGAACAGCATGTGCTTTTTGTCAGCTTTAATGAATTCGAGACTATTTAAATGATCTGTTTAGAAAATCCTCTTAACAGATGGAATAGTAAAATGTGAATTAATAAATCATTTCATCAAACTGTCTTCTGCTTTCCTCTTGCCAAACCATCTTTCCCTACAGAGGAGCAAAGGTTGTAGCAAATATCAGAAAAATAAAACAAAGACAAGAGGCTACACCTGAAACCCCTCTTTACTGTTACTTTAACACCCAGGGAGAAGGTTGTAGTACTTCTATACAGGTATGTGCCATGGAATAGGAGGTGGGTTTTGAGATGATCAGTCTTTATGGTACACTACTTGGCTTGGCTTTCTGATCCTTTGGTAGGGTTCCTTTGTAAAATTATACTAGCTCATCGTCAGTACATAAACTTCAGGGATTTCAAAATGTTTTAAAGTATCTGGAGGCTGGGGGGGACTACAGAATTGCTGGCAACATACAATCAAGTAGCCGATGGAACTCCAGTGGTCACCAGCTTGTTTTGAAACCACTGAAACCTCTGTTTAAAACTGAAGATACATTGATGGGATCAAGATATGAACTTGAGCCTAGAGCTACTGAACAATAAAAAAATACTCTTTTTAAGCAAATCAAGCTGTTTGAAGATTGAAATAGGAGTGTAAACACTTTTTGACACAAAAACGATGATTATAACTATCTACATTTACCCAATGTTTCCTAGACCTTCACTTGATGGGGGATTGTGTGTCAAAACAACTCGGAACTAAGAAGAGATGGTATTTACAACATACCTAGACTGTATTTTTCAGTAGATACTGGAAAAGAATCAAGAATGCATTGTGAATCTAAGCATTAAGATTTTGAGCCAAATACAGGATCAACAGACGTTAGGAATGTGGATATTTTTTGGCAAAAAGGAAATCAATACAGCTTGAATGTCTCAGGGCTGGTTTGCATGTTTCTAAAATTCATACATGTAATTTATTGACAATATTTTGATGTTTCTTTTTTTAGAACAATAATAATATCATTGATCAATCAAATAAAGTAGGTGAATAAAAGTTCAGTATTTCCTTTAACACTAGAAGAAAAACTGTTGTATACATACTAATAATTTATACACAGCTGTATATCATTATTATTGTGGTTCAATTTTATCCCTGGATAATTTTACTTTCCTTTGTGTCATACTCATTATCATACATTTTCATACCCGAAAAAAGAGGAAAAATTTAAATTGAAGTATAAAGAAAAAAATAAATATCCGTCCAGGTATGGCCAAAAGAAAAAAAAAATGATCACTGGTTCACTCAAAGCTGCACTGGGTGACTGTTTCTCCTAAAAAGGTTTGAACTCTCTGTTGGCTACTCCCTTTTGCCCCACCAGCTACAGGTACATACCCCTCCCCCCTCTCCCCTCAGGCATGCCATTCAACATAGATATTGTACTAAAAGAAGACCACTGTCAACCTTATGAAAAAGTTACCGAGTAAAAACATTGTTACTAGGAAACAGAAAAACCATTCTACTGAAGTGAATTATTGCAGTATCCTTCAAATTTTGGTTCCATTGCTTACATGTATTGTTTCTAGTAAGAAAAAGTGCAAGTCTTAAGATGAAAGTTTCATGTTACAGAACAAAAAATATCCTTTCTTTTTCCACAGGGTTCGCACAGTCTTGAAAAGTCCTTGAATTTAAGGGGAAGTCCTTGAAAAGTCCTTGAATTCCATTTTTCCTTGAAAAGTCCTTAAATTTCTGTGCAAGTCCTTGAAAAGAGCTTGAATTTTCTTCAACTTTGAATGTAGTAGCCTGGAAAGAATTTTTTTATGCTTTTTGGTTGTCCAAGACAGAATATAAATCGTAGCTCAGTGAATGTAAAGGTCATTTACATAAAGTGCTCCATGTTTTATGCAAAAATTAACTACCAGTTTAAGACAAGTGAACTGAAAAATGTAGAGAATTTGGTGAAGCAAACAGTTAAAGCCTTAAAGTCTTATTAGAGTAGACTAGGAATGTGCATTTTTGTACAATCTGTGAAATTATATTCCTAGTAGGTTGTCCTTGAAAATCTAATGTGGTCCTTGAAAAGTCCTTGAAAAATGGTTGCAATTTTTTGTATGAACCCTGTTCCAGGGAGGCCGTTTTCTCCCAACAACTCCCTACCAGGTAGAAATTTCATTCAAGTTTCATATAACATACTTTTTGTTTGTTTTGACCATGAAGACCCTCTCTCCTTACAACTTTTAAGGATCCTAGAATCAAACAATGCAAATATCCCTTATGCACAACTGTCTTACAATATAGATTTTAAGGCTCAGGAAGGGAAAATTGGCAAAAAAATATACTTCCAACCCTTCACACATAATTGAACTGTCTATCCCCTACTGCACAGAGAGAAATAACTGGCAATGTAATTTGACTTATCTGTGCAAATTAAGTTTGCTGTCATTAAGTTTCACAATCCCCCATAAAAAACCATACAGTCTGTCTGGAGGTGTGCTGTTACCACCCCTGAAATCCCCTTAGCAAAAACCTTGCATGCCTCCCTCTAAAACAATAAATTATGATGTCTATGATCACAGCAATTGCAGGCATGTGGTATCTTTCTGGTATACTACCGTACTCAAAAAAGACTACTAGTAATAATAATTGATCAGCAAGATTATTGTTTTGGTTATGATATTGTCCTTCTTGGCTGTAGCCCCTCTTAATTAATATCTCCACCTCTCTTGGGCCACCACCTCCCAAAGCAAACGGCCTATTCTCTGTCACATTTTTTCTATTTTATGTGTTTCTTGCCCAATAAAATACAGTTTTAGAGATCCAGTAGAAAGTGCTGTGAGAAAAAGGGTAGTTCTTTAGGATATTTTACTGCCCTTTCCTAATAGTACCACCTGTTCTTTAAGAATTCCTTTTTCATCAACCATTTAAAAAATTTGATATCTAATTCTCTTAACAAAAGCTCACGCTCTAACATTGACTAACTCTAATATTTCTTTACTCTACGTTCCTTGTAATTCTCTCACGTGCACTAAAAGAAAAATCCTGGATCGGCAAACCTACTAACCTTAACTATGCGACACCATGCCAGTCCATGCCAGAGGGTGTTCGAACAGCAGAAGACCGAGCCCCTGCAAAAACTTTACGTCGAGTGGCAAAGCCTTCCAGCTGTTAACACTTTAAACTGTGACCATAAGCTTTTTCCCCACGGTATTTCGCTCAGGATAGGCAATTTTGATTGATGACTTCGATGAATCAGAAGCCGCGAAAGCCAAACTCTTGAGTGACGCTCGATTACAAACAGCGAAAGACTCGCCATGACATTCCTCAAAACCATGCAGTTGAGTGGAAGTTTCTGCAACTTTACGGGGCGTGATACAGCCTTCCAGCGGTGAACACTTTAAACTGTGGCCATAGACGTTTTCCCCATTCTATTCCGCTCAGGAAATTATATTTTGATTGATGACTTCTCTAAATCAGAGGCCGCAACAGCCACAAAACGTTAACGACACTCGTTCTGAAACATCGCAAGACTCGCCATGATATTCCCCGCAGCTGCATGATATTTATCGTCAAAACAATACTAAATCTTCTTTGTTTGGTGATGACATTTGCTTCAATGGCCGACTAGATACCTTCTCAACATTCTCGGCATTCAAGATACATGATTCCGTTAGCCTGTGGGTAAAAACAACGAGAAAACCAAATGGCATCGGGCGTCCATCTTTGTGCTTCGCGCGAAAACAGAGCAGCAACTCTGCAACCGGATGTGATGTCATAAATCGGTGGATCATAGGTACACGAAATTTCGCTAAGTCGTGGGCCCCCCCCTGATCGACAACAAACACCTGAGGAAGGGGACCATGCATGTGAAAAATGACCGTGTCCTCGGCGTTCACCATGAGATTCAGACACAGCAAGACAGAATAATGGAACAGAGTGGGAATCTTAGGGCGTTAGCTGGGATATGTATGTATGTTTCAAAAACACGCGAACTCTGAAGTTCAAACGCTGCCTTCAAAAATGCGTTTTTCACTGTCATCAATTATCATTACGATCATGGAAAAGCAACGAACCTTGAAACAGAGAAACGCACAAAACGGATCGAAATCCGCCAATCACAAATCACAAACCATAACCTTTTTAAAAAGAAAACTTCTGTTTCCTAAGAGGTCCGCTAAGATTATTGACGGCAGCGAAAAACGCAAACGTCAGTCAGCTTTTGAACTTCAGAATTTGCGTGTTTTTTGAAAGTCTGATTCCTGGGACGCCACATCACAGCAAACTTTAATTGTCAAGTCCAGACACGACTTACTCAATAAAAAAAATGCAGAATATTGTAATGGCGACTGCTGAATTCTCTCTTAGCAACACTGAATAGAAGATTGCGGACCTCTCCGGAAACCAACTTTCGATTTGAATTTATAAGAGAATGTATGAAAATAAACAAAATACGTCCTAAATTCCGTTTTTTTTGACAAAAATAGAAAAAAAAAAAAAGACTCATCCTGTGTTTTTGTTTTGTGTTTTACTGACTCTTCACCTCTAGAGCCATTTGGACTGCCGTTTTATCGATGTTTAAGATTTTGAGTTGTACTAACAATAAGAAATAAGAGAAGGCTGGCCAGTCTGATGGCGACTAGCCTGCGTGGCAGGTGTTAAAAGGGGAGGGAAGGGGGAATTTGGGCGCGCGAGGGAGAAAAGAGTTCCCCTCCTCTCTCCTCCCTCACGCGCGGTCTCGCGCCCTCGATTCGCTTCCGACGCAGGCTAGAAGGCGACTGTCCCAGCTTTTTTCCCAGCTTATGGCTCGCTCGTGCGTTCTCTCTTAATTTCGTGTGACTTTCTTTAAAACGTTCTAGACGTAAGTCTCTAGATCTAGAAAAGGATAAAAACAATGAAACTTTGACGGAACGGAAAGGTTTCTCTTACGTATACTCTCAAGCATTTCATCACCGTAGTAAAAATATCGCTCACGTTCACACAATTTTTTTCAGCTAAGAACTATTGGATAATTGGGGGAGGGGGGTGGGAATCTGAGCGATTAATCGACATTTTCTGAACTCTGACAAATTTTTATTTGGGTAATGTTTAAAACTGTATGATTACAATCTTTTGGCGATTATTTACATAAAAATAAATTTCATTTACATCACTTTATACAATTCTTTTGTAAATTTTGAAATAAATACGTCTCTCGCTCGATATATGATGCGGTCAAAACCATAGTGCCTGCCCAAACATAATCGGATGCGGATATCATAAGAGTACTTAAAATGCCCATACGTGCTTAAAATAGCATTATATTGTTCGCGGAACAATGGGTCATTTAGTCATTTAAACGCGTGACGAAAATATGGAAATAATTCAGATTTTCTACATGACACCCACGTATTTCACGATTGTTGTCTCTCCGTTCTGTCCACCTACTTTGGCAAATGTCTCAAAATAGTGTTTTTCCACAACACTAGGATTGTATTGCTTTCTTCCATTGTCGTTTTGGCAGCCGTTTGGCAGACAAGAACAAGGAAACCGGCCATAATCGACTTGACAGGCGATTCCACTTAAAATGCATTCGCATGTTTGTGGGTAGCAAATATCACCGCAGCTACAACCACAAATGACGCGACTAAGTCTGAGCTGTGCGCAATCTTGTTCTTCTTTCTTTAGAATTCGCCGCACCCCTGACGTCTTCAGAATATTTTTTCTTGCTTTTTGGGAAACCGGTGACAAAGGCTTTTTGTCATTTTTATTCGCCTCCAGACCCAAATCCACTCGTAAAATCTCGATGGAAATGTGTTTTCTTGCCATTCCAAGCGTCGATCCTCCGGTCGAAGGCACGGAAACAAAGCCTTGCTTTCTTGGGAAATAATACACTGTTACATCGCCAAATCGCACCATTTTGTTTTTAACTCGTTTACAATCGTCGTCACTTTCGTCTCCGCTAGAACTACCAGTACTGTGCTTTCTCTTTCCCATGGTATAATCGGCAAAAATACACAACAGAGTTACAAGATGTACGACTGATCGAGTTTCGCACTCCCGTGTATTTATACTCTTTGGACTCTATTTTCACGATACACGTACAACACGCACGTCTTCCGGTGACGTCACAAACTCGCAAAAAATGACGCTTTAACTGCGAGAAGCAATTTCATTGGTTGGTCTTGAAGGGGCATCGCTTCGTCTGAAATCATAGACGAAATCTGCTGTCTTCTTCTTCACGCAAGTTTTAAGAGAGCGCTGCGTGACCGTATTCAATGAGCAACTGTGTGGGAAACTACAGGCCATAAACGGTCATACCGTATTTATTCGATTAACCGCCCTGGGCGCTTATTAAATTTTTGGATCTTGAGAGTGGGCGCTTATTCGAGGTGGGCGCTTATTCGAGGCTGGGCGCTTATTAAATTTTCACCATTTTCAGCAAGTGAAGTATGTTTATTTTGCAACAAAACAATAAACGCTAATAACAAAACGCGCAGAAGTAACAAAGCAAGGTTTCTGTAAAATACTCTGAAGAAATCTCCGTGCTCGGGGAAGTCTCTTATTAGAATTTATTCACTCAAGTGGGTGGGGTGGGGGTGAGCGCTTATTTGAGTTTGAATGGGAGGAGGAGGGGGTGGGCGCTTATTCGAGGCTGGGCGCTTATTAACTTTTTCCGCCTTTAGGATGGGCGCTTATTCGAGGTGGGCGCTAATTCGAGGTTGGGCGCTTATTCGAATAAATACGGTAAATGTAAAAGAAAAAACGTAAATTGACGATGCACTTTTTTTGCGCCTGCGTTATCACTTAGAAATAATTTCCTCGTTGTATTACGTTACTAGCTCGGCTAAATAGTAAAATTTGGCTCCTGACTTATCGTATTAAACGTTTCCGATGCAGTGTGTATTCGAGGGTGGCGTTTTAAAAAATCACATTTCTTGAATCACTAACGACTGATCATTTTGCTTCCAAATGCGTCGTTTAATCATTAAATACAGTATTCAGTCGTCAACTTAAACTAGCTGAGAAACGATTCCAAGATAATTTAATGATAGTTGCCTATGAACTTATACTCCTCACTAAATCTAGAAAGAGATTCCTCTACTCAGAATGCTGCACTGTACAGGGACTGTACTTTCAGTTTGTTTATTTCCATTTAAATATTGCACTCCGTGGGAAAAAAAACAACAACAACAACAAAAAGAAAAACACGTCGACCTTCCTCAGTGATCTTCCTGGACAAAGAAGACCGCAGAGTCCTCTCAATTGAACAAGTCGGTAATGTTTGTCCGAAAATTAAATTGCCTTCAGAAAAGACGCCATTTTTACGCGTTTTTCGAGCCACTAAAACGCGAAGCAAGCGTGGAGGGCGAACACGCGCGACGGGGAGGAGTCCTCGCTTGCTTCGAGCTTGGATTCGCTCGCCTGAAAGAAATCGGAAAAAATACAACGACTTTTTTGCAGGCTGAATATCTCAGACCAACCTGCGTGGCAGGTGCCGCTGGGGGAGGGGAAAGGCGAGGAGCTCGTGTGAATTCCTTTCAACTTGTTTTTTCCCTCGTTTGCGCCTGCCATGCAGGCTAAATAACACAGAATTTAATTCGTCTATTTACATGGCCATTTTACGCACAACTCTAAGTGATATACGCACGTGGCAAAAAAAAATTGTTTTTCCCCCCAGGGCACCCTCGGTGAGATCAAAATCTGCAATTTCAATCCCTTATAAGAGTAATCGGCGTCTGCTCCGAGATCAGACGAGACGACAAACAGCCCTGTCATTTTCCACGTCAGGGTTGAGCGGCGAAGCCGCGAGCAACGAGGTCTTCAAGGAAGCTCATAAACGGTTTACCTACAATCGGGAATTTCCGTTTCACTGAAACGGTAATTTTAAAAAATACAATAAGACCTCCGCGGGCGTCCTTTTTCCTCTCTACGCCCCAGTCTCTCCTCCTTTTTTGTCATTAATTTGCTTAACTTTTCTTCTTCGCTTGCCGCGCGGAGCTCTGAGGAAAGAAGGACGATCGCTCGCGTTTTAAACAATCTGCGGCATGTGACGCATGTGACTTGGTGTTGCGGAACCATCGTCGATTTAGTTCGTGTCATTTTGGTGATCGCATCGTCCGTAAGGCGCTCAGAATAGACATGAAAGATGATCGAGAAAAGGTGTTATCTTTGACAGGCTTTGCAAATTAAAGAACTTATGTAATCGTACTACCGCCTTTCGTTCATGCTTAACGATGCTGGAAGTTCGTCAAGGATAAAGTTGAAAATAAATGAAGCGCAGAGCATGATTTGGGAATTACGGCAATCTATTCTTAGAAGGTTACGATCATAGGAACATGCGATGACATCACGCGCCAGTGATGTCTATTTAAAACTGATCGACGGTAAACTTGGTGGTTCTTTTTAGCGGAGCTCTCGCGCGCGAAGCGCGCGCAGCGGAGCACCATGGGTAACAAAATTTGGTAAACCATGCATCCAAGAAATTTTGGTTCTGAGAAAATCGTCCGTACGTACGTCCACCCCTTCATGTAAGCCGGGGTGAAATTTTGCATTTTAAGTACACGCGCGTTTCGGCAGTAAATCGCACAGCCACCCGGACTTTCAGAGATAAAAAAAACAACAACGACGAAGCCGATTCTTTCTTTCGACTTAATTTTAAAGTCTACATTGGGTGGATAACAGAGAAAAAGCCAGAGCCAGAGATAAAAAAAAGGAGAGACTAATTTCGTTTGAAGAATAACATGAAAATTTTATAGCGGCTGTGAGAAAATGAGAAATGCTAGCGGCCACCAAGCTAAAAAAGAGCGGCAGCGAAAAAAAGAGAACAAGACCACATACAACATTTCCTCCATAAAACGTGTAACTAGGAAGTTTCTGGAAGTTTCAGGCTGTCGTCTTGCAAGACCACGGCAAAAAGATGTACAAAAAAAGTGTGCTGCACGTGCAAAGTTGTTTTTTTGCTTATTAGACCTATTTCTTTCTTAGCATTACACGATTTTATATTTTGTTTCAGTAAACAATAGACATTAACGAGAGCTTCGCTTTTAGCCCTGGCTAAATTTATATATTATTAGTGTAGGTGTATGCTCAATCGTATACTTACCCCTTTTTTTCAATAAAAATGTGATATCACAATACCATCCTTCTTGTGGTTTCATCATTTTTATTTATTACATTATCTCCCCTCGGCATAAGTCATATATAAAATCGCTTGTAGCCAGACATTAAAAACTAGATCAGTGCTAAGTATTATCAAAAAGTTGATAAGAAAATATACCATCCATCACCAATTATCTCATTTTGTTTTGTTTTGTTTTGTTTTTATTTTAACTGTTTCCTTTCTTGTTTTTAGAAATAAAGGAAGTCAGCTAATAAAGTCCCGGCGGTTGTGAGGAATGCACCCGAACATAGAAATTCCATTTTCTTTAGAAAAAAGCTCTGTTCTATAAAAAAATGTTTCCTTTCATTTGGGTACCCATCATGACAACCGTGACGTCATCTAATGTCACATTGACACAATGACAGGAAAAAGCCCGAAATGCACAGTTTCTAAAAAATTTACAACCTAGTACAAGTCAATCCATCTTCCATTATTGTCATAGATGTGGCTGTGTTAGTACACTGCAAGTTAAAAAAGCCAATTTTCTAATTGGAATTTTGTCAATAAATTTTACTTAAGGTTAATACAAAGTATCGCAGCCTTTGTCTTAGCCTGCGTAGCAAGCGTTTCCGCTTGGTTTCTTAGCAAAGAAAGGCCGAGGAACGGGATTTTCGGTTTTGGCCGCGCGAGAAATGAGACGAGAGCCAAAAAATCAAAGAGGTCTTACTAGCGCCATTTTTCGCGCGGTCTTTGACTCTCGCTCCTCGTTCTTTGCTCCTAAACCGCACGGAAACGCTTCTACGTAGGTTACCTTTGTCTTTCCTTAACAGGTCTTCATCTTCTATCAAGAAATTGTCAGCACACGATGGCTGTGTTCGTTCACTTTGAAAATGAATCCATGTGTTACCTTTGTGAAATCTACCGAAGCCACGATCTATTAAGGCCCCGTCCACAAGCATCCGTTTTTGTTTGAAAACGGAGATTTTCTTCTCCAGTTTGGCCTACCGTCCACACGTTTCCGGTGAATACGGTCACCGAAAACGCATCTTTTCAAAAACATAAAAAAACCCTCCAGAGTACAGTGAAGGTTTCTGACAATGCTTGCTTCTCGTTAGGGTGTGGCCGGACGAAAATGGAGGTTTTCGAATACGATGATATCATACATCATTTACTACTAGTATAACGCATGCTCTGTGAGGGATGTTATCGTATTCCCATTTTTAGCGTTTTCGTATGGACGGGCGAAAACGAGTCGATTACGTTACGAGTGGACGCCTGTTTTTTTTGAAAACGGAGGGGGAAAAATCTCCGTTTTAACAAATATCTGGATACGTGTGGACCGGGCCTAAGATAGACCTTGAACAATCTCCTGGAATGTTTTTCTCAGCGTAGTCCTAGGAGAATGTAATATTCAGTTGGCAGGCTTATGTGGTAAAGTTGAATTCTCAGAACCCTTCCATTCCACGCTGTCAAAAGAATCTTCCAAACCGAGTCCCATCGTCAGCAAATCAAGTGTTCCATCTTCGGGCACCAAACGTTTAATCTCAGCTTCATCTGGACATTTCAGATTGTCAAGAATACCCCTGATTTCCTCGACAACCGGGGATGTGGATCCGCGATGACGATATAAAGATGACTTCACAAGTTGAGTGATATCCCTTGGTAAAACGGAAGGGTCAGTAAAAAGCAGTGCAATGTGTTTCCAGACACCAAATGTGGAGAAGAAAGTTCTGTCATAGGAATCCCATAGTTCTTTAAGCCTTATACATGCTTTGCGATCCTTTTCAATTGCCACCTGCACCTCTGAGAGCCTAAATTTTTTCTCTTCCTCAGTGCCAAGATACCACGCTATCTGGGCACCAATTCCGGGTGCGGCAATAGCCGCGCCCACAGAAGCTCCGCCTATAACAGCCCCGACCACAGTCCCGGACGTGATGTTAGGTTTTGGGAGCTTAAGGTTTCTTTCCAAGTGTTCTAATTCTTCTTTAGTATGTCTTCTAATCTGTGTACAGCGGAGGGAAGCCTTCCGTAACTCTTTGCAAGGTCAAAGAAAGGAAAAGTAAAGAGGTAAATTTAGCGAGTAAACTTGGAGTCATTCGCATGGAGGGAAAAAAGTGTTTATGAAAGATGATTTGATTAGTGACAACCCTTTAAAAAGTCAATCCTTTTCCCAGATATAAGTTTTGTACCTTCAGAAACAGTAAAAACCCACAAGTAAGACTGACTACTTGGTTTTTACGAACTTGTTGCGCTAAATTCAAATGAAGATATGATCGTCGCAGTGGTAATTGCAATTTAAACAATTGCAAATTTACTCGAAAAAAAAATTCGGGACTTCAAATCGATTTGAACCCATGTCCTCTGCGTTAGGGCTGCAGTGCTTCAATTGCAATTTCCACTGCGACGATCATATCTTCATTTGAATTTGTATTTCCGCAGTTCACATCATCTTCACTGTTGGGCTAAAGTCGGCCAGTTAGGGCTCCTCGAAACAAGAACCTGTTCAGCCTAAAATTTGATGCAGGTTCATAACTATAAAAAAATCTGTACAGATAAGTCATCATTCAGGTTCCTCTTTGGAGACGACGGTGCTTTATCACTCCAAACGCAATGTATTGGTTTGCAGATTTTATATAAGGAATAAGGTAAATACCACATACTCTTAGCTATGATGAACTGTCAGTTTTTTTCCTTCCTTTACATCTAAATAGCCTAAATCTGTGCGAATTACCATTAAGTAAGAACCTATTAAGTCTAACTTCGGGAGATGCACGTTTCTTATTTGTGGGGTTATACTGTATCCGATATCAAACTTTGCAACTTTTTACCGCAATAGCAGTTCCTTGAAGTGAGGGCCCTCTATAACCCTTAAAAAAATAAGAAAAACAAAAATACTTTGACGTAAAAATACTGAGACTTATAATTCCTACAATTTCTTCACGTTCACGTAAAAATCAAGTAATTCACGTTTCACAGACAACCTAATTAGTGACAGCCCTTCAAAAAAAAAGCTATAGGGGATTCTCAGAAAAATAGTGCGTCGCAACCCCTACGAGAAGCCGGCTTAAGGAAATGGTTTTTCTAAGGGTCGGGAGAGTTCAAATAGGGTTTTGCCAAGGTCCCCCCCGCCCCCCCCACGTCTTCTTGTTGAAGGCGGGCCTGAGCCAGGTTGTTGGTTCGCCACGTAGCACCTAGAATCTAATGAAAACTGGGTCCAGAGACAACTTCATTTCTAGGGATTTTCCTCAACTTAGTCCAAATGGCTGGAGGTGATCTATGATGATTTTTTCAAACCTACCGTCAATGATTAAACGCTGTCGACAAGCCCTGTAGTCCTCTTCCCTGATATTCGATGCAAGTTTAAATGAAGAAAGACCAAACTCTTCAAGGAGGTCGTTTGTCACAAGGTAAGACTGGGCTACTTCATTTAGGCGGCCTGTGCTGTAGTCTTGCCAAAGGTCATCAAGAATCTTCACTGATCTACACTCCAACTTGAATATCAAGCTTCCAATCTTGACATCAAGAACAAGTACTTTGCGAACTTTTTCCATATATGTAAGGAAACCATTCAATTCGTCCGGGTTTGACGGGTCAACTCTCTCAAAGCATTTATCTGCAATACGATTGAGAACCTCTTGAGTCGAACTTCGGATTGACGAAGTTGCGTGTAGTCTTTGGGCCATACCATCAAATCGGAGATCAAGATTACCTGCTAATAAAAGAACAAGTTAGAAACTTCTAAAATTCCTTTACTGACCTTTACTAAAACGTCTTAATTGTCTTTCATGATCAACGCTGTACGTTAGGGATCAAGAATGAGAGTCAAGCTGTCCCAGTTTCATGACATTCGACAGTCAACTAAAGATAAAAAGAAATGCAGAACTTGATGGTGTCAGCCGGAAAGGACGAGAAAGTTGAATTCGCGATAATTTTTCATACGATCGACGCAAGGGATTTTTCATACACTTGGATTCGCTACAACCGATCGGTAACTTTAAAAGACTGCTTACTTGAACAGGGAAAGAAATTTGAAATGTTGCTTTGGCGTCATGACCAATGACTTCATTAACGTTAATCATCCTGCGCACGCTGACGAGATCCCTACGCAAGAAAGGAATGATTCCAGACGCCCATTCCATGCATCCTATACGATTATACACCATTTTGCTGCAACAGACTGAGATATAGATCACCCAACGGTTAAGAAAAACCCGGCGAGAAAACAGTGAGAGATTGAGTGAAAGAAGGCCGGACTATTTGTTGCAATGTAGATAGATTAAATTTGTTAATTGTGGCTACGGTCATTGTGGCACACCCGTTCAAATCCCATTAATCTATTATTAGTTGTTTTAGCTCGTGCAATCTTGTAGTTATACCTTTAGGCCCCGTTTATATGGAGAAAAGTTGTCCAAGGAAAGAGGGTCATGGTCACCCGTCCCAGCCGAGTCAACTTTAGCGAACGGGAGTAACTGCAGAATACCCGGCCATTTTGACGCAATACCCCTATAACGGTGGCCACGCGGCCACGCGGCTACGCGGCTACGCGAAAACGTGGCTACGCGGCTAACTGGCTACGTGGCCACGTGGCTGCGTGGCTATGTGGCTACCCGGCTCCGTGGCTGTGACTACGCGGCTACGTGGCTACGTGGCTACGGGGCTATGTGGCTATGCAGCTAACCCTAACACTGACACTTACACCCAACAGTAACCCTAACCATAACTATAACCCTAACCCGAACCGTAACCCAAACCCAAACCCCTGGGGTAAGTGGCTACGCGAGGGGTAATAGCTTAGAAGTGGCCGGGTATTCTACGTAGCCCCGTAGCCCCGTAGCCACGTGGTCACGTAACCACGTAGTCACTGTTATAGAGGTATAGCTTCGAAATGGTCGGGTATTCTGCAGTTAAGCCAGCGAACGCTTATGTGAGAACTCTTTGCCCGAGCAAAGAGCTGACACAGCGTTCGCACGTGCTCTGATTGTCTCGCCTTGACCCAGTTGACCCAGCTAGGCGAGCCAAAGTGTTGGAAAAAAAAGTTGGCCTAGCTGTACCTACGGACACAGACGTATTTCCGGTCGTCGCCTCTCTTCACCCTGGTGGAGAGAAGCGACGACAGGGAAACTGGTCTGTTTCCCTCATGCTAGCCCAGCTAGGAGAGTGACTCAAATATCCGAAACAGGGTGACCCAGCTATGCGGGTCACCGTTCGTTTCTCATGTAAAATGTATGAAAAGTTGCCTCGCCTAGGGTGGGCGAGTGGCCTTTCTACCTGGAACAAGTTTTCTCCATATAAACGGGGCATTAGTTCTCATTAACTCAAACACACATATATTTATCCTACTAATTAGTATCATGGACACAAAAATACATTTTGCTTCCAGAAATCATTTCTATTTGCACACTAAGGTTACCTTTTGTTCTGTTAATTAGTTTTGAACACGAAGTTGCATAATTCGAAGAAAAGAAGAGAAACGGACGTACCTGTAGATTTAACTACGTAGAGGATTGATCCATTCCTAAGGTTGTAGTGCTTCATAGTACATCTGTTGTTGAGTTTTTTGCCATTATACACGAGACATAACTGATCAGGTGAGATCGGTACTCTGGCTAGAATTCTGTCCCTTACACTTCTGACGTCGTCGTCCGGATTGGCATCTATACTGATCTCATCTTCATTGGGCATCTTGATATGAATTCTTATTTTTACAAGGCACCGCAGGATTGACTCATTTTGAATGTTGTAGTCGCTCAAAGTGTGGTTGTCTATGAGAAGCTCGTCATGAAAATAGAGGTATTGTCTATAGCATGGGATATCGTCGCTAAACTGAATTTTTTCTTTAACATTCTTAATAGTGCTACTTTTAAGGAGATTTAACCTCACGTCTATTCCAGTTGACATCCTAACAATGATTTGCACTGCTACATACAAGAACAGCGTGGACTTGTCCTCAATGTCGTAGAAATTTAATGAATGGACGTCATCGAGTTGCCTACCATTAAACTGCAAAACTTGCTGGTACGGTGAAATTTTTGTTTTGGCATGAATTTTGTTTTTAACACTTTCGACAGTATCCTTTGGGCTCAGTTCCAAGGTCATCCTTTCTTGAGTTAACTGGGTGACCAAATACACTTCCATTTTTTCAACCAAATAAATGACTGACTTATTCACAATATTGTAGTCAGAAATAGTGTGTTTATTTTCTAGTTCTTTGCCGCCAAAGATGACAATTTGTTTGTCTGGCGGACAATCTGTCAAGTCTCGTATTTTCAGTTTGAGCTCCCAAATGGAATCGGTGGGTCGCACTGCTAGGGTAGCGACTGGTCCCATGGCTTCTGTTAGGATTGTGACTTCCATACGATTATACCTACCAGGGACTCGGAGTACCAAGTTGAGGATTGATTCATGCTGAATGTTGTAGTCTCTGACAGTTCGGTCGTCTTCCAGGTTTTTTCCATTAAAGACGATACGTTGCTCGTCTACTGGAAATGCTGTCTTCACCATTATTATGCTCTTCAAATTTGCGATGGAATAGTTAGGATCTACAGCTAATGTGATATAGGTCTCCTGGCACATTACTTTTACAAACAAATGTCTTAAAGGTGAAAGACATTTGTTCTCTCTTTCAATTTTCTTCATTACAATCGGGTTCGAATCTAAGTTCTCGGCTAAAATTAAATGTCTGCGTGTCTAGAGGCCTCAGCATGACCGACGATAGATCCCTGACTCCTTGCTTCTATCTTGCTTGCCATGATAAATGGAACTGGCACAATTGCAAGCAAACCTATAAAAATCGAAAGCAATTGCCAAATTATTTACATAAGGAATCTATTAAACGCAAGCGTATCTCCAAAAAAGCCTTTTGTTTGTTTCGTCTTTTATTTTTACGACACGCCTTCCATTCTTTAATAAACCAACAATTAATAACCTTTCATCCTGGAGTTTTAAGCGAAATGCTTTACTACAAGATGGTCGATGCTCAGTAACCAAGCCTTCTACCATAATATGGAAGATAGGTCACGAGCATCATCGAACGAATTTTGGTCGAATCATCGAATGAATATTGCTTGAATTATCGAATGAATATTGCTTAAATTGTGTCAAATGTAGGAGAGAATCTAATGCATATCAAGGCGAATTTATCGAATTTTGGTACAAGTTTATCGAATGTATTGAACAAAACCAAATATATTTGAATTTTATTGTCAATATGTGGAGATTATCAAAGGCATAGACGCGACATGGAATACTGTCACATTTCGGCAACCAAAGTCGGCAAGTCACAGAGAAAAAAAAACTCTAGTACTAGGGCGGATCAAAAAGTTTTGTCACTCAAACTATATCTCCAACGCTTCACCTGCAATTTTTAGAAATACAGTTACATTCACTCAAAGTAGCTTCCCACAACTTCTATTCATCGTTGCATCCTCATCCTCCACTTCTGAAAGCATTCTTGGTACTCTGTAGCAGGTGTGGCCCTCATCTCTGAATGTACAGCTATAGGAAGGTCTTAGATCCTTGGAAAAGGCTTCCCAGCAAGGGCTGACTTGATTTATGGAAAGAGCCAGAAATCGCACGGAGCCAAGTCGGGTGAGTATGGTGGATGTTTCATCAAACGGATACCATTGTCATCAAGGTACGTCTGTTTGATGCGAGTTTTTTGAGGAGTTGCATTGTTGTGATGGAACTGGATTCGAGACCGACGTCGAGTCCGTGCCGTTGACTGATTATGCAAAAGAACGTTTGGCAAAACTGAAGTTGTGTAATATGTGGCAGTGACTGTAGTTTTGTCGGGCTATGTCGACAACGACAGGCCCCTGAGTACTGAAGAAAATGGTGAACATTCTCTTTCTTGAACGGAAACCTGTTTTCAGGACCTCCGGGCGTGGTTCATCTTCGACCAGCCACACCATGTTAGAACGTTTATCTTTCATAGTAAAGAAGGAAATCCAACACTCGTCACCCGTAACAACATCAGAAAACCTCTGAGGGCCATTTGGTGCAAATTATTGGAACCAACTGCGGCAGATTGCCACCCTTTGTTCTTTCTGTTCTGTTGTTAACTGGTGGGGGACCCATCTTGCGCAATTCTTGGACAGACCAAACTGCTCATGGACGATAGCATGTCCACTTCCGTAGCTTACACCAAGCTCCAAAGCTAAGAATCTAAGTGTTATAGATGGGTCCTCTACTATCAATTCTTCGGCTCTCTCCCAGAACTGTCGGTCACAGACGTCCGTGGCCTTCCAGCACGTGCTTCATCTTCAACGCTCTCTCTGCCATCACTAAAATCCTCAATCCATCTGGTAACTACGCAAAAAGAAGATGAAAGGTCCCCATAAACCGTCACAAGCTCTTCATGGTCAGGCCTCGCTCGGAAACCTAATTTATAACGAGTGTAAATGTAGAAACGAATATACTCCCTTAAAGGTTCTATGTCATAACCAAATCAGCTTGTAAATGAAAGGACCTGCCAAATCCACACGGGCGTTATATGAGCACTAAATTTGCTTAACAATTAGCTGTTAATGAAGTCTAAAGATTCAAATGGAAATGAAGAACCATTGTTGCATGGAGAACCTAGCTAGGACTTTTCTTGGTGACAGAACTTCCTGATCCGCCCTCGTGCACGTTTGAATGTACCGTGGAACCTCGATATAACGAACCTCTGTATACGTCCTTGGTATAACGAACGAATTTTTTTATCCAAGTAATGGTAAAATGTATGGAAAAAGACCTCGATATAACGAAACCTCGTTATAGCGAACAAATTAAATTTTGCCAGTCCATTGGCACTTCGTTAAATCGAGGTTCCACTGTATTTATTTTAACTTTTAACTGAGCTTGAGAATGACGAAAAGTCAACAAGTCATTCCTTTTTTAATGTGATCTAAAAACAACTTTCTAACAGGCGGCAGCTAGAACTAGGCCTCCCGCCATTTAGCAGATGGAATGAAAACTACTTCTATATAGGTTTTGGTCTATTTTTAAATTTAATACTGAATTTGAAAGTTAACTTGTTAATCATTATCGTACTCGATCTGTCACCATGAAAACTTTTATGCACAACAAGCAGGAAGTGAAAGCATGAAAAAAATCGTTCTAAATCTCTGGTGCCTTAATTTGGAACTGTCAATAACACTTTCCATCAAAACACCTGATAAAAATCTCCGGGTTTAAAATTCAATAAAAAAAACTCTTTTCGAGATCTTAGAAAACGTAGATAGTTACATTGATGTCTCCAATTTTGATAGCTACATTTTTCAAAGCTTTAAAACGAAACAATGTCAATTACGTGTCTGCCTTGTAGCTGATCTATAAATAACGTTTTTTTCGTTGACTAATTAAAATGTTATTGAGTATAAATACGAGCTAGAGTGCATCTGGTCTTGAATTCTTTTACCAGTTTTTTTTTTCTGTAGTATTTACCTTTCGTTTCTTGTGACCGTCTCGACTAGCTCAGGAGCTAATAACGGGCATAAAGCAGTGTCTTATACAATTATTAAAAGACTTAAAGATAGTTGTTGTTGTTGTTATTATATAACCTCCTCTTCACAAAGGGGATGCCTTACCTCTGAACGATTTATCCGTTCACTGACTTTCGCTATGGATTTCTTGATCTCCATATCATTTTTATACCCTGCGTCTAGAGGAACTGTCAAATATTAAGCAGTGGATACCTGATGTGTAGTTTTTCCCTTCTGGAACTGATGTTCCCAGCAATCCTCACAAGATCTGCTTCACTTATTTCATGCCAAAGTGTTGGAAATTCAATATCTGCAATTGCCCTCTGTGTGTGATAGTCGCGTGTCTTCAGGTTTGGTGCAAGCGACACTTCCACTGTACGGTCCTGCCAAAAGACGAAATTCATAATAAAAAGTCCATTCAATAAAAAGGCTCAAACAGCATGAAGATTTGGATCTGTCCGACGAGACCGAAACACCGTTCTCTTTTCCAACAAGGCCTTTATACAGAATGGCGTGAAATGCTTTAATCTAAAGTACACAGACTTGATTTGAAAATTCATACTCGTATTTATCTGATTTATCTCTCAGCAAGGTCCAGTCTAAATCATTATAGTCCTTTGATTGTCTTTATACACGAAAGGAAGCCAAACCACTAGGATTTATCGCTTTTGCAAGGCATTATAAAGGATGGTTTATTGCCCCTGCGTATATATAGAAAAGTAATTACGGCTGAAATATACAAGCAGTGTATACCAGAAATAAATCTCAATTTGCTTGATCAGGGGCCACATGGAATCGTTAAGTACATGTAATGATGACGTTTCTGTTGTTCACGCCCGCAAGGAAGAGATGGTTAGGATGACGTAAACCTGAAAATCCCAGAAGGGACCGCTTACGTTGATTTTGTGACATAACTAAGCAAGACGAGTGAATCAACGTCTAGCTTATCAGTGGTAGATCGATTGACGATTACCAAGAGCCATAATGGCTCTTGCGATCGCAGAAATTCGCCGATCTATCGGTGCTGACGTATTCCCTGCTCACAAATGTCCTTCTATGAAGTTTTTTTTAAGTATTATCTTATTATAGTTAAAAGTGATGAAATGACTAGAACAAGGTGAATTGATCAAACCTTTATTTCTAGCTAAGGCTTACTTTCTAGACTGTATGTAAAAAGTGAAAGAGAAATAGCGCAAAATTCCAAAATATATCAAGCATGAGACGCAGTGTTTTATCACCAGATGAAACACTGAGAAGAGAGTTGAAATTAGGCGCGCAGCGGAGTATTTTTGACGAACTTCGAGGTGTTTCATCCGGTATTTTCAAACTCATTAATTATTCATATCCTGATGACCCAATCAGCTTGCATCAATTGAGTCAGGTGCATGTATTTTGATGCCCAATGAACATGCCGATCAAGACACATTCGATTAGTTCAAAAACTGATCAAGACACTGATCAAGAAACTTGAAACTTTAATCATTACTTACAACAACAATACGGCAACATATTGTTATTTCAACTTTTCCGTTGTAGAAATAGATCGTTTTTAATAACGACTTAGCTGATGTAGTTCCCAGCAATTTCTTCGGAATGTTGCTTCTTCTTGCTCGCTCACAAACTCCTTCTTCTCCTTCTTGCACTTAATGTGAAGCCCTTCGCGAACGCGATCCTTCGTCTCGGCATCTAAGCAACGTCGGAACAGGACAAACCTTCGAAAAACAACGCACCAAATTCAATTCCCAAAACAGTGCATTTTAAAATTCTGAACAATGCAGTCTAAAAGTTGTCAATTACCTTTTGTCAGTAGCGTCCAGAGGATTCAAAGCTTCGGATCCATTTTTCTCCTCCAAATAACGTTTTAGCGCACAAATGATACCATAAACAGTCTTGGGAGGGTATCTTCCACCGGACCTTTTAGCTACCTCCATCACGAATTTTGACAACCAATAGTTCAGCGACAGAGCATCCATTCCGGCAATATCTGTGCTCAGAGCGGTAACCTTGTGTAAATCGTAGTCCTTGAAGAGACCACCACAATGTAATGCCGGAACTTGAACCTCTCTTAACCTCTGCCATTCGGCAAAACTGATCACAGCCCACTTGTTTTTATACTTAGTTGAAGCTGGAACGGCGTCATTCACCAAAAGATTTTCTTGAAAAGATGTTTTAGGAACGCGAAATCGTTCTGATCCGGACTCGACCTCCATCTCGCGCCGTAGAAACAAACAATAGCCTATAGACCTATTCGGCTAACTCAATGTTGTACCCAATTCAAACCCTTTGGAAATAAAACTTTTTGTTTCATGAATTTGCATACATTTAAATGTGAATTCTACATTATAATGCAAATACAATACACAAAGAATCTTAACCCCGGGAGATTTGAATTGGGTACAACATTGAGTTAGCCGAATAGGTCTATTGAGCACGTCTTCTAATTACCTATTCTTCGGAAATAATTCCACTAAATTCTCACACTAGTTTGAGAAGCCCGAGTTCAAAAACTCGTGCTTCGTTTTTCATCAGGGGTTCCAAACACCTCGAAACAATAAAAGCACGACGCCGATCCGTTTCTCGGTGTTTGGAACCCCTAATGAAAACCTCGCACTCGTTTTTGATCTATTACATGAAATACAGTGTCGAATGCCTGATATTAATTCTCAAACAAAATGGTTTTACAAGGAGAAATTAAGGATGCAAAAATGAGCAGTTTTTCATCTGATTTGCAAACACTCATTAAACATTAATTTCCCTTGTATTTTCTTATGAATTAAATGAATATTAGAACTTCTAATCAAATCTTTTCGTATGGTTTAGAATAAAATATTCTCGAAACTGAGAATGTATTGATCAAAGCTGTGTACATCAAATTGAATCAGTGCATGGAATCTTGCCTTTCCTGTTTTCATCTCACCTATTCTGTATGGAATATGTGTGAAAATCTTCATTATGAATCAGGGGCACCCAACGACAATTTTCGGAAAATATCTGTTCGGAAGACGATTTGAGATCTAGAATTTTCGGAACATTTTTTCCCAAATTTCTTGCTTGTCTTCCTCTCCTAGGATTTTCGAACATCTAAAAAATGGTATAATTGCCCATTTTTGACGGATTTATACCCTAAAAAGGTCACCTACAATTTTCGGCTGAAATTTTTTCTGGCTGAAATTTTCGAATAGGTAAGTTTTGATCCCTGTAATTTTCGAATCATTAGACTTTATGAATGGGTATATTTCAAAGAGCTACACAACGACCAAGAATACTATTGACCGACAATATACAGAGCGGGGGCAGCTGTAGTATCAACTATTTAACAATTATTTCACGAGTGCGCGCTGGATATGAGATAGTGTAGCGCCGAGTTGGCTATAATTATCTCATATCAAACAAGCGCGAGTGGAGTAATTGTTTTATTAAAGACCCCCACCAAATACAGTGACACCTCTATTAAGCGGACACTTTCGGGACCTTCCCAAGTGTCAGCTTAATAAAGGGGGTCCGCTTAATAGAGGTTTCACTGTATCGAGAATTCTTCCCGACTTTATTTGTAAAAACGACCGATTTTCAGTTTGTTTTTAGTTTTGAGCAGACGGGTACAGTTACCATCTTTGGAGAGCATGGTATAGTGGCTCATATACCATGATGGCCAAGCCCATCATGATCAAAGCTGTAGAATTGCATTATCCAATGATCAGTTTTTAATGATACTAGTTAGTATATACTAAAATTTTCGCGTGCTATGATTGGCTGTTCAAACCCCCGGGATATAGAGTGCTATGCTATGCTATTAACCTTAGAGCAAGAGCGCTAAACTCAAGTAAGTTAAGAGCAAAATGGCTTCCCGGTTTGTTGCCGTAACAAACAAAGAAATTTCACAAATAATCAGAGAAGCTGTTTTCGAAAAACACGAACAAGGCGACGAAATTCAGTTTTTACGGGTAAAGCTTTGTCTGTTTAATCTAAGTCAGTTCATCGATGCAACCGCTGAAAAAGATTTTTGTTTACAAACAAATTAACCGCACATAAAGTCTTGAGTTACTTTATTTAGCTGACATGTTCATAAATAAGCCTAAAACTGAGTTAAGTGTTTTTTTGTACAGATTGGTTTCAAATACAGGAATAATTAACAACTCCTTTAGAAGAAATGTCCCAACAAGAGCTAAGAAAATGCCTTCAAGTGATTTTTAAGCTAAATTATCTCACTTTTTTAGTATATACTAAAAAAATTATTCACCTCAGGTTTGTTGGCTAGTGATGGATTTGTCCCCTTTGGTGAACAATTGTTACATATCATTTTTGGCTCTGTCTGTCTGACAATTGTAATAATATCTTGGTTTGCAACCACGTGACAAGGCGGCCAAATTGGGGGTAAAAACAACATAATTTTTCTCGAAGAATTTACATGAAAATAGAGTTTAGTTGCCAGAGGAGAGAAACGCTTTTGTTCTTCAACACCAACATGACCGCCTTGACGTCGGTTGGGGTCCCAGGCGTTCCTAGCAGCGACTGTGGAAACTGGGAATAAGCATTGTGACGACTTTCATTGTATGCAAATGAGACTCATGATGAACATGTGGTTTATTTTCGGCGATAATTGAGGTGATGCGCGTAATTCATCAGTTTCAAGTATGGCTCTTTGGCAATGATGTAGTTTTCCCCGAATCATACCGATCAAGGCCCTTGGTTTTCGTGTATTCATACAGGCGTAGTAAGACGTGAAATATTATAGCGGAGGAAATCCTCTTTCATGCTGTATTGAGGCATTTCGTTTCTCAGAATATTGACGCCATTACTGTAACCCTACGGTTGAATAGATTCGACATTGCAGATTCACTTTGTTGTATGTATTTTAATTGATAGATTTTCGCAGTTGTTAAAATGTGAAAACGTGTTGCATTTAATAAATACTTGAAATATCAATGATTTTTATCCTTAAACTACTAGAAGCAACTTCAACTACTCATCTGGCGTTACGTATGTGTCATGGATGCGATTACAAGTGTAGAATTGTACTTGACTGTCACGCACTCTACTTGCAGCACTTCATCGGCCAATGTGAACTACTACTCTACAAATTGAACGGTAGTTTATTTATTTCTGAAGTTCTCCAGTATGGGAAATGTGTGTTTATTTTTCATACTGACGTCTTCATTGATGTTTCCTTGATGTCGTAGATTGGCAAGGTCTCAATCTTTGCCTTGTGGTATTGCCTTTGATTCTCGAAGATTGCTTGAAATTCCAGCATTACTGCCAAGACATCATTGGAAATTTTCACTTAAGATTTATAAACTGTAACGATCGAACTATAATCTTCGGTCCAGTTTAAGTCTGACTATTCTATGTACCATAAGGCAGTCAGTAGTTATACTGTGCAACCTACGCCTGCACACTGGCTCCTTAAGCATTTATCTCCTCCTCATTTCTTATCTAATCTCCAAGCAACCTCGAGTTAAGAATGTCTTGTTTCAAATCATTTACATTATGCAGATCATTGTATGTCACAAAACGAATCAAACTGTGTTTGGAGTTTTCAAAACGAATTTTTAGAAGACTCTTACATCCTGATGTAATCATGAATTTAAAGGGACAGGTTCACAGCCCAGCGCATGCTTGTTAATGGAAATGCTATTTTTCTGCCGGGACATGCTGTATCGTCTATGAAGGCAATATGATCTTGTCATAATGTTGTCAAAGAACCAATCTGCACACTCTCTGGCAATCACTTGATCAACGTAGGTGCAAATAGCTGTAAATTAATCAACCATGGAATAAAACCCTCGGGTCAACAATAAATTCAACGTTGGTAGTGTTGGCACAATCCACTAATTTTTCTGCGATTTTAGAACTCCTCCATCCCACCTCAGGTTACTCTAAAATACGCTTCTACTTTGAAATGCACTCTGAGATCGCTGAGGTACATGTGAGTGGGATTATTAACCGATAGAATCAATAAAAAAATTCGAAAAGCTTAATTTAATTAATGAGCATGCGCTGAACCGTGAACCTGTCCCTTAAAATCTGCTCTGATTTATTTGCAAAGATTAGAGATACTGGCATGCATTGGTGTAGGCGTCTAAGCTTCCCTACTCTGTCAGACGATATTTGATTTGAATTCAGTATTACTAAACAAATGACACGAAATGCAACGCGTGGTGAACCGATGGTTCGCGTTCAAACGCCGCCAACAAGGTAGCCAAGTTTCATATTTTCTTTTTAATCTTTAAAACTCTACACATATTTATTTCACGAATTACCATTTCAACTCACTAAGTAATGGATTTTTGCAATCCAACGGTGATTCAACGCCGGAGAGGCAAATTATTGAAAATTTATACAGGGCCGGATTTCCAAACGATTCAACTGGCTTAACTCTTTAGGCTCTTCATGACCCGTCAGCTAACCCGTGTATGCTTAATTCAAGAATTCGCCGAAATGATCATATAAAGGACAACAACACAGTTGTTGTCATTTTAACAGAGACCCTTTAGTTAATGACGATTAAGCTTACCTTGGTTATTTAGCCTTTTCCTTGAAAGTTATTGCTAGTGAACAAAGACGCGTTCCAGACGACCTAAAAACGCTAGCAAAATATATGCAAATTTCATATGAACTGAATTGGCAACCAATGAACGACGGGAACCAAGTTAAAGTAACACAGAAGTTACCACAGACAGAAACACCTTACCATTTGTATTATGATCATACACATCCGACAGGCGAAAGTGCGAGCGAGTGCAAAAGGTTTCACGGGAAAGCAAGTCCACATTGAGCCCAAGACTTCTCGTCCTGCTCTAGGGCACTCCACAGGAACACTAGCCTGCGAGCAAGCTCTCCTATTTGGGCGAGTGAGGCGAGTCTCGCGAGAAAGCGCGAGCGAGCGACGAAGCCGCGAGGGGCCGACGCTCACTTCGCTGGCCCAAATAGGAGAGCTTGCTCGCAGGCTACAGGAATACCCAACGTCTCAACCTCGTCCCCAGCGCTTTTTCCAAATCAGGGCCGCAGAAAATATGCCGTTCGAGAAAGCAAGGTTAAATATTTGTTTATAACCGTTCCATAGGTCTAAGATAATCCGAGTTTTTTATTTACCACATACCCACGATTTTCGACATTTTATAGCAAGCTGGAAGATAAAACTGATATTACACTGGATGATTCGCAACGACGATTTTTAGCGCAACACAGCGTTGCAATGTTGGAACAATGATGT